AGAGAGAGAGAGAGAGAGAGAGAGAGAGAGAGAGAGAGAGAGAGAGAGAGAGAGATTGATTGGGCTCGCGGTCACAAGTCTAGACAGAATCCTCGCTCGACCTTTTGTTGACCGTCTGCAGAGTGCACACACTTCTGCCGCACTGCGCAGGCTAGCTCCCTCCCCTGGTCGTGCTCGCGTCTGACGGCTAATAATCATTGGTACGGTATGCACGGTAATCATCCCCTCGTGGCGCTGCTCTCGTCTCTGCCACACTGCGCATGTCTGTACTCCGTCCCCCGTCGTAGTCACTCTTCCGCCTCTCCATACCGAGCCATTCGACAGACATTGACAGCGGGTGCGAGAGGGGGACCATTACATTATTATTATTATCATTATTATCATACCAGGTACCTATTGATATTCACGTATACGCCAGCAGAACGGGGGGGCGGGATAGAGTTCAACGATTGCCTTGGCGTCTCTTTCCGCGGCAGCGAGGACCGGTCGGTGTCTGCATGCTCTACAACACGCATCCTCTGGCGACTTCAACTCCCCCACGACCGCTGCGCGCGCAACAGCGCTGGAACACTCGCTTGGATATACTGCAGCACTATCGCAGCAGCACCACATCGGCAGGGCACTAGATGCGCCCACGCCGGCGAAGTAGCAAGTAGCCTATCCAGCACGGAGGCGGCGCGAGGAGAGAGGACGCCAGCCAGCCAGCCAGCCAGCAAGCAAGCCGCGGCAGAGCTCGAGTGACGACCGCGACGACGACGACGACGACGACGACGGCGGCGGCGACGGCGAGAGCAACGACAACGACCACGACCCCGATCCGACAACGAGGTACTCATATCCAGACCACAGGGTGATCTGTGCCTGTGTAGTCGCTCCCCGGGGCATTTGGACGGGGCTGCCAGGCTCGACTCTCGCCTGAAGCCTTCCGAGGACTGAGGCTGCACACTTCGCAATGGCTACAGCAGACTCGCCTAGCACGTGGCCGGAGTCACCGATGGACCCAGAAGATGTGGTATATCCGTGCAAAGGTTGTGGAGAGGTGCGATCAAAGCCAACTTCGAGTCGGTAGTAACAATGGCATGTCTAACGCGCGTGATAGATACTCGAAGAGGGCAAAGCTTTCGAACTTGGTATGTCTGCACACCTGCCATGCCACGCATTGGCCGAATGAGGAGACGGGGCTGTCTGAACTATGCTGACTGTGAGGATACAGCGGGAAATCGATGGCACATTGACTGCTTCCGGTGCAACACCTGCGGAACCCTTCTAGACTCGGACGCAAACTTGCTATTGCTTGGAGATGGTAGTCTCATCTGCAACAATTGCACGTACAGCTGCAGTGCATGTAATAACAAGATCGAGGATCTGGCCATCTTGACTGGCGAGCAGGCATTCTGCTCGGGATGTTTCAGATGTCGGAACTGCAAGAGGAAGATTGAGAATTTGCGTTATGCTCGTACTTCACAGGGCATCTTTTGTATGAGCTGCCATGAGAGCATAGTCACTCGGCGGCGGAAGAGAATGCGAACTCCCAAGCACGCTCCTGCTAGTGCGCAGCCCGGACATGATAAAGCATTGCCCTCACTGCCACCGGGAGTGGCTACGCAAAGTGCATTTACTCCTGATGGTGAGACTCCACCAGTGGAAACATACCAGGAGAACGCAAAGACACAGGCAGAAGCACCCGGGCAGAGGCATGCCTCCTCACGGACTCGAGGCACATCCAACGCTAATCACAAGCACGACGTGTCGCCTCTGGCTGAAGACCAACACCGAGGTGGGTTCTCATATGATCAGTCGTGGGCCTCACAGAGAACTGACAGCACACAGATGGACCCATGTTACCGGCAAGCACATACGGTGAGGATAGACCGTCCACCGTCTCCAGCTCTAACGACGACGACGATTCCGAGCGTGGGTTCTTGCCCATGGCGTTCGACCCTACTCCCATACAAGCTCCGCCGCAATCGCAAGCGCCCATCCCCCGAAAACAGATACCAAGAGCCTCAGAAGAGCGCTCACCACCGCACACGCAGAAGGAGAATCAGCCTCCGCGAGACTACTTCGGGACTAACGGAAGACTCTCCGCGAAGCCGCCTTCGAGGAAGCCTTCGCAAGAGCAACGATCGGAAACCAATGCTTCCTCGCGATCTGTTTCGACGGAACGCGAACCGGATAGGGACCGTTCGGCGAGCCAGTCGAAACCAAGCCCTCATATATTATATCAAGAGAAGGGTCGCAATCGAAAGCGCGATACCTCGGGGAGTGAGACACCTGTGAATGGCTCCATTACTGCTTCTCCGGTGGGCAATCTACCCCCTGAGCGAAATGCATCCAAGCCACAGCCACATTCTCTGCCGACTGAGCAGCAGAACTCGCACAGCGGCCAGTCCAGTCCGCAGGAAGGCTTTCGCCTGGGAGAAGTTCCGCCTTCGAAGCGCGCAGACTCGCGGAAGAACTCTCGGGCCGGCCACCCATCGTCGACGACGGTGTCGCCAGCAGACGGGAGCAGCAGAGAAGGCGAGCCTGGCAGTGGCAAGCCTGTGTCGCCTGCTTCAGTGGCTTCGCAGAACTCGAGCATCAATCCTTTTGATGACCCCAAGCGCAAAGACGTCGCTGCTCCAGCCAGCACGCCCATTCCACCGCGACACGCTGACAGGAGTCTGCCGCTGCGAGGAGATTCACTGAGCGCAGCAGCGGCGGCGGCGGCGGCAGCCAAATCCAAGCAATCAACACCTGAGCCAGACAACAACAACAACACCACCACCACCACCACTAACAACAACAACAACAACAACAGTGGTGCACAGGCGCAGTCACCGCCCACCAGAGACATGGTGACGTCTAAAGAACTGAGCACGGCCTCCCGCGACACCACTCGTTCTGGGCCCGAACTCCCTCCACGAGCCAGTTTCGACGTTGTGCCACCACCCCGTTCTTCCACGCGACCGACTGCTCCCAGCAAATCTGTCGCCAATGACGATTTCATCGCGCCGAGACACGCACCGCCACCTCCACCCGCCGCCGCCGCGGACAGGCACCGACACAATGACTCCATTAGCACGCTGCAGAGCGAAGATCAGGACACATCCCCTGCATTGCGGACTGGCGGGTTGCCCAAGTACAGTCTCGATGGCGGCTTTAGTTTGGACGACGAGATGGGACGAATCCTTCGAGGAGAACAGGCTGGCCCTTCATCGCCTTCCGTTTTGCGTCGCGTGTCGAATGCGGTGAAGCACGGTCGCAGTTTCAGTGACCGCGCTCCGACGCAAGGAGCGCCGTCACCAAGGAATGGAACGCTCGGTACCCCCACTGCGACGCCAAGTATCACTTCTCCCACAGGCGGCGAGGGAGTTGAGTCGCTTCGTGCCTCTCTGAGGCGCTCCAATTTGCAGGTTGCGGAATTGGAGAGGGAAAGGCTCACCCTGCTGGAGAAGATCGCTAGTAACGGGGACATTAACGCTGCCAACACAGAACTTCGAGAAAAGCGCTCCACTATGGCATTTCTCGACACGCAACGGGAAATGATTGTACGCGAATTGGAGATCATGACCGAGCACTTGAGCAAGGCCAAGGACGCCACTCAACCACTAGACTTCCCGGCACTGAAGACCAATATTCTTCGCGATTTTGGAGACTCCCTGCAGCAGCTCAAGGACACCTTTGGAGCCCAGATAGAGGATCTGATGCACAGGCGCAACGAGCTCACTGACGAGATCGGCGACCTGATTCAGATGAAGGACAAAGGATTTCAGGAGTACGAGTCGCTATCGACGAGGAACGCGGCACTGGCATCACACAACCATGATCTCGTTCGCAACATTCAAGGCATGTACCAGGAGAACCGCGCGCTGAATGGAGGTGCGGGCGTCAACGGCCTTGGCATATTCAATGGCAATATCAACGACGCTACTTCTGCCGAAGTCAGGAACCTCAATCCCGTCATCACGGACACGTCGCTGCCAAATCTGCTACAGGATCCGGATGCCGAGCCGGCGTCGATTTTGTCAACTCCGCAAGTGGTGAACATCCGAAAGGGTGCTCAGCCCAAGAAGTTCAACTGGCGACGCGGAGGCGAGAAGGTTGCTGGGAAGGTGACTAAAGGCATCAAAGGCGCGTTTGTCGGCAACGAGCCAAATGGAAAGGGACAGTATACCATCGGTATGCCGTACAACCAGAGTCAGAATGGCCAGGCCATGGCTGGTAGCGACCAAGGCAGTGTCCACAGCAAGCAAACTTTGGATGACAGGACGTACAGCTTCTTCAATGGGAAGAATGTCAATTCCAAGGCAGTGATGCACATGAAGAACAACAGCAGCGCTAACCTAGCTGCTGTGGACGGTTCGGGTACGTCACCACTGTCTCGTTGTCTAATGATTGACATGCTAACGTGCGCAGTACTCTTTGGCTCCGAGCTGACCCTCCGCTGCGAACACGAAAGTCGCGTTGTCCCCGGAATTGTGCTTACATGCATTCACGAAGTGGAGAGACGAGGCATCGACGTTGAAGGAATCTATCGCAAATCTGGCGGCGCTGGACAAGTGAAGCAAGTCCAACAGGGCTTCGAGAAGGATCCTGGCTTTGACATCTCGGACGAGGATCTGGATATTCACGCTGTAACGAGCACGCTCAAGCAATACTTCCGGAAGCTACCGACACCACTGATCACATATGACGTGTACGATTCTCTACTGGAAGCCGGTCAGTTGCAAGACAAGGAGAAACAGGTGGCTGCGCTTCGATTCACCGTGGAGAGTTTGCCGGATGCACATCGGGATTGTCTGGGATACTTGTTCCAACATTTGGCCAAGGTTGTCACGTTCGAGAGTAAGAACTTGATGACGCCACTCAATCTTGCGGTTGTCTTTGCGCCGACTATCATGCGGCCGTTGTCGATCGAGCGCGAGATGAGCGACATGCAGGTGCAGAGGCAGGCCGTGCAGGCATTGCTGGAGAACCACAAGAACATTTTTGTGGAGGAGTAGGAGAAGAAGAGAAGGAGATTGGAAGCATGAACGATAGCTTCGTCTTGCACATAATTCCCGTCTGGTGTGGACTTTCTCCTTGTCCAGTGGCTTTGGATTTCCCAAGGCCGAAGAGAGAAACACAGAGAGAGAGAGAGCGCAGGAGAAAGATTGAAGGACAAGCGAGTCTGACACACAATGCCAGTGTTCCCTGCATACTGGCTTTGTTGAATTGAGTGAACAGAATGGGACTGACTTGGGCTGGCTGGGCAGCAAGTCTTGGTTTCAGAGGTGTTGTTTAGCGATGGGCGATGGAAGTCCTTTATTGGGGGAGAAAGGGGGAAGGGCTTGCTTTTTTACGATCATGAGTGGAATGTCTGCGTGAGCGCTAAATTCCAACCGTTGTACTATTCTCTGCAAGAAGTTAGTTTCACAGACATGGACGTTACGTTGCTTTTTGACCTTGGAACCACAGTGCACCACTCACTACCCAAGGTATTCTCTCGGTCGTCTTCCTAACTTCAGCATAGGTAGTCAGTGTGAATTCTTTCATGAGGTTCGTTCGCAGCTTAGAGAGAGAGAGGTACAGAGAGGCAGAGAGAGAGGCAGATGAAGCACATACATAGTAGACTTGTGTGTGATATGGGGTGGATGGAAAGTGATCATGCGTGTCACATTTTACCAATACATACATACGGTTGTTACATCCCAGTTGCTCACGCTGCCCTGACGCCTCGCTGTATGCATGATAAAAAAACTCCAACTCCAAGCTGGCTGAATTCGCTTTTCCTACTACCGCTTGCCCATCTTCTGCGAGCTCCTAGCGGCGATTCTTCTGAATGTCTCGTCGTTGGCGCCCTGCGTTTTCCTCTGGCTGACGCCCTGAGCATTGCTCATATTGCTGACAGGTGCAACAGTGTATGTGCCAACTCCTCCCTGCACTCTCGCTCTGTTCTGTGGTCCTGGTGCTTCCAACGCTCTCTTCCTCTTCTCCGCAGCCAACGTCGCGCGGTCGACTTGACTTGGTCCCATCCTCTGGCTGGCAGCTGCGGCCATGGGATCATAGCCTCTCGTTTCCACCGGCTTGGATCGCGCGTCCTTGCCCTTGTTGAGAATTACGCGAGTCCATTCTGCGACCAAGTGTTCTGCCTGTCTCTTGATATCTGGCTGTGGCTGAGTAGATTTGGTGTAGAAGAGAACGACTTTGCCGACGGCAGAAGCTACGAGCGCCTCCTTTCCAATGTTTAATCGCGATAAAATGGCAAACAGCTCGCGCTGAATCTGGTAGTTGGGTAGGGCGGCATCCTGATCGGCAGGCTCGAGCATGAAACGGACAGATTCGAGGATGTTAATATCGGGATCAACAAGTTGCGATTGGATCGTGTTGCGGTTCATCAGCTCTACGACCTCCGGAAGGATCTTGAGCTTCTGAACGGCGACGTCTCCTCGCGACCGAGCCTGCGCATCCAACTCGCAGGCTTTGGCGATTCGGGTGCGCATTTCAGCGATTTCCTGGTCGGCGCGCTCTTCCATATCCTGGGCAGCTTTGCGGCGCGAGACACGGTGGGTCTTCAATGCCTCATCCATCTTCGCATCCAGCGCACGTCGGCGGCCTGGTCATGTTAGCGTATTACTTCACAGCAACAGGAGGAACACTGCAACTCACGCTCGTCCGGTGGCAGAGTGTCGAGGTCAATGGGCGTCCTCTCCCTTCTCGAGCTCTGACTAGGCTTTGAGCCTTTGCTCTTCCTCGACCGCTTGCCATCCATCTCGGGGCCGCCTTCAAAATCATCCTCGTCCTCGCCACCGCGTCTCTTCCTGCTGCTAGGCTTCTCGCGCTTCTTCTCCTTCTTCTTCTTCTTCCGCTCGCGCTCTGCCTCTTCCTCCGCCGTGCGCTTGCGCTTGTGCACCCCGAGCAAAGCCACATTGCTCTCGTCAACGTCGATGGGCTTGTCGGGGATGTTCAGGGCGGTGGCATCGAAGTCAGCAAACTCCTGCTCGTCCAGTTCTTCCAGCTCCGACTCGTCGTCGTTGTCCTCGTTGTCGTCTTCGCCGTTGACTGGCTTCTCCGCATCTGCCTCATCGTCCATAAGCTCGTCTGCGCTCTTTGAACCCCCGTTCTCTTGCACCTCTGTGTCGGCATGAGGATCGGCCATGGGCGGAGTGCCTCCTGCATTGTCTTCCTCCTCGATTTCGGGGCGCAGAGGGTCATTGGGGTCGGCGTTGGCTTGCGGCTCGTTATCGATGCTGTCAACAGTCGGCACGTCTGGCTGCTCAAGGTCCTCCATTTTTTGCTGTTGGCTAGTGGTGGAGAGGAATAGTGTATGTGTGAGAGTGTTGGGGTGGTGAGAGAGTGAGTTGCTGTTCAAGATTGAACGCGGCTGGCATGTCCTCGTCACGGGTCAAGCCGTTGCTTCAACACCACCACCACCAAAGAAGAGATTCCCTTCACTCCAACACACAACACAACTCAGACCTATCAAGAACAACTCGCAAACATGTTTGGTGGTGAGTACGAGTAGATGGAGAAGGAAGTCTTGAAGAACGTCCAGCCAACAGATATCTCTCAGCACCTCCACAACCCACCGCCGAAGAGCTCGCGCAACAAGAAGCTGCCGCCAGACAGACCGTCTTCGGCATGGTCAGCATGTGCGTGGTGCTATATTTCTGTATGCTTACCTATCCCACTACCTATCAATCAATTCAGAAGACACAGCCTGGCTCATTTCTCGTACAGCACCCTTCGCCGTTGAGGCAGTGAAGAATCTCATCTAGAAATTCGCTCGACGAACTGGGAAAAAGGAAAAACTGTAACAGAAGTGTATCATATTGTACAGCAGTGCAAGGAGCAGAAGAAGCAGCATGGGCCATGGCATGGCACGGCGTCGGGGAAACGTGATTGAAGAGAATGCTACACCGTTCTTCCGCGCCACAGACGTGGACTGATTCGGCCGTTGGAGCAAGTAAGACGTACCGGGGAGAAATGCTGTTCATATCTATCTACGATCGGAGCGTTTCGTCTTCTATTAAACTTGTTCATTCTGAAAAGAAGGAGTAAGCCAATCTCTTCGAGCCGTTCACCACTCTCAGATTCTTCTCCTCCACTCGCAATAGATTCGTGGGACAGGGTCGGCGCAGACCGAGAAAAAAAACATTCATCAGCAATGGAGCGGCTTGCTAACTCGGCCTTGATGTTGTACACGATCGTCATGAATCTGTCGAAGCACAGCTAGCTAGATGCGCATTCCGTCCACGACAGATGAGAAGGCGCACTCGAAGACGTCTCCCGCCTAGAGCTCCTTCACTCGGGTGTTTCTGCGAGCGAAGAAGAGCACTAACTAGCTTTGAGACAATGAAGAAAAAGATGATGAATTAGATTTTGATTAGGAGGTAGGTACACGATATGAACAAATGGAGTACTGGCGACCAACGGAAAGGATACAATCTCCTCGACTCTAGCTAGCTACATTTTACTATAGAACATGACATACGGCTCAAATTGATCCCCATTCGATTGCGGGTATTTCACCACATTACTGTTTTGTTCCCCCTGGACGACAGAATCATTGATAATGGCAAAATCCACACCATTCGCTTCTCTGACCGTCGCAATGTAATGGCCACTGCTGACGCGGTCCCCGCGATGTGCTACGACGGCATCCAGGCGGTAGAGGAGGTCTTTCTCGTCTTCGGTGTAGCGTCCGAGGTTCAGATACTCTTCGTACCACGTCTCCTCCTTGAGTTTTTCTACAATCGCTCTACCATTTTTAAGCTTGGGCAGCCCATCGTCGCCCTCGGACATGGCGAATCTCTTCTGCAACACGATCAAGACCTCGGGTGCTTGGGTGATCGTGTAATGCTTCGTCTGCAGGGGCAACTCTTCTTCGTTCTTTCCAGACATAATCACAGCCTTCCTGGCAGCTTTACAGGCATCACTCATGCATCTCGCTTGCACACCCTCGTCGGTGAATACATTTTCGTGCAACCGATCCATGAACGTCATCCACTCTCGATCGCCCCGAGGCATGTTCAGTGGTACTGTCAAGCTGAAGCCGCACTCATCTTCGCTATCGCTGGAAGAATCATGAGCTTCGCCGCAGTCCACACATGTCCAAGTAGATTTGCGCTTCATTTCGAATACTTGCTTCAGACACGCGACATCACGTTCGTCACCTGCACCAAGGACGAGATCGAGCAGCTTATCGATGTATAACCAGGCGTCATCCTGTACATCATTGTGCCAACCGACCAAATCGTGCAAGTCCCCTTTGTCGTTGATAGGTGTCTTGGGAATGTTCTTGAGTATGGCAGCATCTAGGTCAGCATGGCTGATCACCTTGGTCTCTCCCTTGCCGCCTCCGAGCCTCCAGTATCGCTGAAACAAGTCTTGCAGAGCGCAAGTCACGCAGCGCCTGATACTTTGGTCACAGTCGCGGTGGATATTGCCAAGGAAATGATACACTATTGGAACATGTAGTAGGCCTTGCAGAGCCGCGTTTTTCCAGCACGATTGACCCCGACTCCGGAAGCCCTGGGAACGACATGATCTGTGAGTACGGAGGAAGTGTTTCAAGATTCGACCTGCCACAACACCGTCGGGATTGACGGTCTTGCCAGTCATAACAGCGCTGCCGTCCTTCTTTCGCAGAGTCCCTAGCTTAACAGGCTTTCCTTTTGAGGTTGGGACCTTTTCACGTGGTAGAGATGCTCCAGAGCCAGCCAACGAGGGTGAACGCTTGCCAGAAGTTTTCCTGGCTGCTGGTTCATCAGTGCTGACAGCCGTCGTATGTCTGCGGACGCGCCGTGGGACTTTGTGGATGCCATGCGCTCGCTCTGCACGTTGCGGTATTGCAAAAGGCTCCCTTTCAATAATCGTTGGCTTAGCCGCACATCCGAGCTTTTGAGGGATCGCATCAAGCCAGTCGCCATCCCAGAAGTATTTGAAAGAGTCGAAGATAGGCATGATGGAACAGGAAAATATGGCGGTAGGTGATGAGGCTTCGCGACACTGCTAGGTCGATAGCACACAACAAGAGGACATGCGAGTCTAGCAATCTAGCAATGAGAGACGAAGTCTTAAGTAGGTACCGCATTATCGACCGCATCAGGCACAATGAGACCTGCCCAATGCGGAAAAACATATGCATCGCTTTGTGCTTGAGACATTGCAAGCCGATTGCGGGGGGTCATGCCGGACATTCTGGCTGCAGATGATGGAGTAGTGGCTCTTGGAGTCAAAGGAATGGTGGTGGTGATAGTGATGTTAGTGATGTTAGGTACCTAGTGATGGTAGTAGTGGTGGTAGACATGGTATACATCACATCACCTGAGAGAAAATCTGCCAAGCCATGAAAAAGTCATGGCACAATGCACACTCCCGTCCACTGTAGTAGTCTACGTCTCAGCCAATGTTATATACTGCAACAACCACAAAGAACGAACTCTGGAATCAAGCTTCAAACAAGAAACAACATGTCAGCACAAGAAACAACAGAACAAGATATCTCCGGGGGGCAAAGCTACGAAGAAGAGCACGTCCACGCCGTCTACGAACAAATCGCCTCTCACTTCTCCTCGACCCGCTACAAGGTACATATAATGATAATAGTACATTCTCAAATACTTCCCATCTCAAATTAATAACAAACATCTGCTTCTTCTTCTCCTTCCTCCTCCCGCACAGCCATGGCCCATCATCGAGCGTTTTCTCCAGACTCGCAAAGCAGGCTCCGTGGGCTTGGACATTGGCTGCGGAAATGGCAAATACCTCGCCGTGAATCCCGACATTTTCATTGTAGGCTCTGATCGGTCTGTCATCACCCATCCTTGTGGAGGGAACATTAGAAGAAGAGAATGAATTAAACAAAAAAGGAAAATGAAAAGAAAAGAAAAGAAAACAAGAAAAGCAAAGAAAGAAAAAGAAAAAGAAAAGAAAGAAAACATGGCTAACACGGTAAGTCCAGATCCCCCAACCTCATCTCCATAGCCTCCTCCTCCACCACCTCCTCCTCTCGCCACCACCAACCGCATTCAGTCTGCATAGCAGACATCCTCGACCTCCCCCACCCCTCGCAAACCTTTGATTTCGCCATCAGTATCGCCGTAGTGCATCACCTCTCGACATCGGCAAGGCGCATCGAAGCCCTCCGCGCCATTCTCGACACGCTCAAGCCGAGCGGGGGAAAAGCATTAATTTATTGCTGGGCATTGGAGCAAGAGGGGAGTCGACGGGGGTGGCATGAGGGTATGGACCAGGATGTCATGGTGCCGTGGGTGAAGAAGACAAAAGGGGAGGCGGATCGGACGTTTCAGCGGTATTATCATTTGTATAGACGGGGAGAATTGGAAGCGGATCTGAGTGCCGCCGGCGGACATGTGCTAGAGGCTGGGTATGAGAAGGACAATTGGTGGGCCATTGCGGAACGAAGGGCATGAATGGACTTTTTTTTCTTTTGCAGGGTAATCGATGGAGATAGCATTGCTCACGTGGGCTTCGCGATTGTGCTTCGTGATCACGACCAAATTCATGGCCTTTCTCATGTTGTGCACGTTGCGGCGCATAATGCTATGCACTCAGGGCACATTTACCACAATGATCCCAGCTTCGCAGAAAGTAAAAGCACCCCGCTTGGCGGTTCACAGAGGTTGCTGTGTTGTACCTACGGCGAGTCTTGAAAAGGAGCCAGTGGTGTGCCCGTCTCCAGTCGAGTAGCGTTCAGGCCCAGGCTCAACCCTCCGTCCAGTCACGCTCATGCTGGGGTTCCTCCTGCCCATCATTTTGCTCTTCGTTCCACTCGAGCTCTTCGCTCTAGGCTATCTCTATCCTGAAGTATCTCGTTCGGCTCACGGGGAATACCGCTCGCGTTCTACTGCGGCAATCATTGCGGACCCCTGTTGCCATTCACTGTCGCCGCGCCATTGGCATCTGTCACTGATGGCAAAGCCAGAGCAGTCGCAGTTTTGGCTGGCGGCGGCAGTGGTGCGAGTGGTGCCACCTCGTCATCCCCATGTTTGGGTTTGTCCTCTCTCCAGGCGTCGGCATCCTCCAACAGAACTTCAAACACGTCTCCCTTGTGCTCCAGCAGCATGTCTGTGATGGTGTTCTTTTCACTCCTGATGACACGGCCGAATCTCCTCTTCGGCTTACGTGCAAAGTCGCTTGCAAAGTACGCATGCTCATGCGCCACGAGCACGAGCGAGTTGCGGTAGTACCAATTCGGAAGGTCATCGTCGCCGCCCACGAGTGACTTACAGGACATCAGCGACACGTCCTCGACGAATGTGATCGCCTTGAGAGTCTTGTGGTGCTCCTCTCGGTCGTTGTACTCTCGGAGAACAGTCTCCTGGCTATCCTTCAGGAAGCCAATAATTGCGCCATGGCCAGTATTAGTTCCCATCAGGTAGACATGTGTACTTTCATTCAGGGTGACATAGTTGTCCCAGAGATATTTCAGGAGCTGCTTGGCTTCCTTGATCCGGAAATCAACATCGTCGTTGGACTGATGCTCCTGCGTATCTGATTCGAAATCAGTAATGTACCTCGGCAGGTTAACGTCGATGACACCAAATCCGGCCTTGCAGGCTTCGTCAACATAAGTCTTCACAATATCAGTCTTTGATCATGTCAGCTAGTTGCTTGCTTTCTGCAGCATCGAGAGTGCTTACCAGCCAGGTGTTATGGAGCTCGATCTTGCCTGTCCGTGGATCAGGCGAGGAAAGGACTTCGGGCGGGTCGTGCAGCACGATGAGCAGCGCTCGTGCTGTACCATAATTTGGTCTGTAGCGATTAGCATGGTCGGGGCCAGTGATTCGATCTTTGACTTACGTTGCAAGGACTTGGTCCTCAAATTCCTTGGCTAGTTGCTCTCGGTGCACGAACAATGGAGTCATGCGATATTCTTCCCATAGCGTCTTAGCCTGCCATCCTCGAACAATATTGTGCATGCGCTCGCCATGGAGAGGGCCATTGAGCCTCTCGGAAATGTCCTTGGGATACAGAGAGGTCCAGAACTTGCTTTGTTGTCGTGCAACAAGCTTCACATCGTCAATACCAGAAACGCTAGCAACAGTTTGCGTGAGTCTATCAGGAGGCTCTCCCATCAACGTCCGTGCCACAGCGGTAGCAGACCTGGCAATGGATTCCAGATTGTAGCCTCCTTCTAGACACACGGCCATCTTGCCGTCCGCGAGGGACATGAGCATGTGTGTCATGTGAGCGTATCCGGCAGGGGTCACTTTGCAGCCACCTAGCATATCACCTTCAGCAGCATCAAATCCTGCTGCAATAATCACCAAGTCCGGGTCGAACTCGGTAGCGATGGGCATCACTACCTGCTGGAAAGCATAGAGGTAATCGGCATCACCCATGCCTTGCTTCGTCCACGGAATGTTGACATTCTTGCCGAGTCCAGCGCCCTCGCCGCAATGCAGGTGGTCGCCATATGATACTCTGTTGTCCCGGTATGAGTGCTCTGGGTAGAAGTTGCCTCTCTTATGAACGTGCAACGACACATAGAGCACGTTAGGGTCGTCGTAGTTGGCCTGCTGTATACCATTCCCGTGGTGCACGTCCCAGTCGAGGATGAAAACTTTACGGCATGAATCTTTAAATTCACGTTGGCATGCTTTCGTAGCAATGCTCACATTGTCATAGAAGCAGAAACCCTTAGCGTCCTCGCGCTCCGCGTGATGGCCAGGTGGTCGAATTACAGCAAACACATTCTTGACTTTACCTAGAATGATGGCACGGCAAGCCTCGATTGCACCGCCCGCAGACAGGGCTGCGCAGTACGGCGTGCTGTTGGATAGGTATATCGAGTCATTCCCATGCGGTGGATGTTGCAACTCATTTCCAAGTTCTTCGGTGCTCAAGACGCTGAGAGACTGGACCCAATGCCAGTGGTTAAGGGTGTGAACGAGGCAGACTTCATCGCGTGTGACCATTCGGGCATCTATACGTCCCATATAGTGGTCGTTCACGGGACCCGATTCGCCCTCTCTCCACGCCAATCCAGCGTTGACGAATGCTTCAAAAATGGCATGTATACGTCGCGGATCCTCGGGATGCAAGTCGTCTTCTGGTGGCTCGGCCTCGACATGGAAGCGCATGCGGACATCGTAGACCAGCCCGGTCTGGAGAGTACTATAGGGCAAGTTGGCGTACTTGGCAGGTTTCGGTGCATCCTTGCGAGCGACCAACAGATGATCCCGAGCGTCAGACTGATGCGAATTGCCTTTGCCTTTGCCTTTGCCAGTACTTTCCAGGTAGTGCGGCCGTGGCAGTTGTCCCGTGCCGTCGAACGTCCCGAGTGCTTGCTTGCCGGTCACGTTCTCGCCTGCGCTATGCGTCAAAAGGGAGGAGTGATTCTCCGTCGAGCAGATCACGTCGGCGTCAGACATGACCATGTCCTGTGCCTCATCTTGCTCCATGACGGAGGACGAGCAAGTGGAAGCCGGTCACCATGAGCTGTGGCGCATGCCGGGCCAGATGCACGTGAAATGCGCTGGAAGTCATGTTAGCGACAGCGGAAGATGCTCAAACGGCGCGACTTACAGGACGCGATGTGATGTGAACTTCGGCAAGGGACGCTCGCTGTTCGATTAGTAAAAGTCTACGGGAGAGCGGCTTCAGTATCGTCGGCGGAACAGAGTGGTGGGCAACAAGATTCAAGGGAGAGACGTAATTGTGGAAGTTGGTGTAAGTGAGAGGTGGTTGCGGTTGCAGTCGAAGGAGAGAGTGAGTTAAGTTTAAGTGGTCACTAACTGATAAAGAGCCCAGCTGCAGCCTCAGGCACCACTCTGTCTGTACCTAGAGGTAGTTCAGTCAATTTCTTATTGCCCTAGGGGATGGTATAGGTATATAATATGTACAATGTACTACAATCAGCTTTGTATAAGGCAATGAACTGCGATACAAATCCTTAATTCGCTTCACTAAACAGACAACATAGCCAGCCTTTCAGTCACAAGCGGCAGATCCATTGCTTATATCGTCCCTGGGAACTGCCTGTGTTTGTTCTTCTCCCACCAAACTTCATCGTGAGCAGCAATCAACTCACACTCATCGCCAGTCGCTTGGTCAAAGTCCCCCAACCGTCTGATTGTCTCCGCGGCCTGGTCCCGATCGACATGGATACACATGGTCTCACCTTCTGCACTCTCCCACGTCCCGATCGCCTTCTCGCCACGGAGCAGTCGTCGATCATGAAAAGCGTCGCCACAGAGCATGATCCATCGATCTCGCGTCCGACACAGTAGATTGACATGCCCAGGCAAATGTCCCGGTGCATCAATCACATACACCGAACCGTCGTGGAAGAAATCATATGCAGCGGGCAACAATGGTCCCATGGATTGCCATGTATCTCTTCTTCTTCTTCTATCTGAAGTCGCAGGAAGCTCACATGTGCGATCTGCAGGCAGCGTATCAGGAACGAAATGCTGATGACTTGCTGCTACACCTCCAATAGTAATGCCATGCTGCAAGACATCGGCAGCTCCATGTCCGATGATAAACCGCGCTTGGGGAAAGTCCTCGGGATCTCCGTGGTGGTCGTAGTGAACATGGCTGAGGATGATACCATCAATGTCTTCGGGAGAGAGACCGCCGGCTTGTAGTTGAGCTGCCACGCCAGGTGAGAGGTCGAAAGGTGCTCGACTATCGATGTGTTTTTGGAGAACTTCCGGATATCTGCTCGGGGCTTTTCGCAGCCCCAGATCGAACATGAGGTAGACAGGCTTGCCATCTTGGGAATGATACGGGGACGAAAGCGGAGGCTGGGGATGAGTGATCAGAAAGGTCAGAGAAGGGACTGTTCGTTTTGCCTCCGGATCGGCTGGTTGCACGAAGCGGCTGTCAGGCAACGTGATGAAGCCTCCTGCTATGGGCGAGACGGTCACGTAGTTCTGGTTTGGCCGTGCAGGGGGCAGTGGTGATGGAAAGATGTCCGACATAGTGGATGTGAAATACTGAGCCTACTTTGTTTTACCATCAATCATCTATATAACATATCCTGTACCTCAGGTAGTCAGGATCTTGTTCCGTCCAGCACCTGCATTTCCTGATATCACATTACCGAGCTCAATACATCCCACACTTTCCCCGCAAAGCCTGCAGGACGGTATAGCTGCAGTCATCTGTTCAGCTGTGTGTATTGCCTAGGAAGCTAATATAGCTCCCTGAGTCTAGCAGAGCGGGCAAGCTTTGCGACATCGCAGCTTCAAAGTTGAAGCTCACCCCAAGGAACCTAGCTGTAGGAGGTAGAGCACGAGGGCAATGATGTAGGTAAGGTAGCAATCTACAACGGATTGCATTTATATACCAGGTACCTTTACCCATCATTTTTCTTGCCAGATATAGTTCAGCAGGATAATCCTCCTCCCATTCCACCCCGAAAGAAAGAACCCCCATCTCATCACATCACATCACCTCAACCTTCCTATACCTGAACAGCTCAAAATAATAACAATCACAATAAAAAAGAAAGAAAGAGAAAAATAAAGAAAAAATGCCAGCAAACTACACCCCCGAAGAGATCCAAAAAGCCCACGAGATTCTCTACAATGAAGGAATCAAAATGCGCTATCAAGTCGCAGGCAAAGAATATGTCGACAAGTCCTTGGCAGCAGCGAGTAATCCTTTTGCACAAGCGATGCAAGATGTCAGTTTTTCCCTTCTTCCTCTCCTTCTTTTCATTATTCCTCTTCTCACAAGGACATATACAGTACGTCTCCGAATCCTGCTGGGGATCAATCTGGACGTAAGTCTTTTTTCTTTCTTTCTTTCATCCTCACTTCCCATCCTCCACTAACTCCCTTTCCCTTACCTCTTCCACTCAGCCGTCCCGGGCTCCCCCTCAAAATCCGCTCATTTCTCAACATCGCCATGCTCTGCAATCAAAACCGCTCCACGGAACTCGCCACACACGTCAAAGGCGCCCTGAACAACGGGGCATCCGAAGAGGAAATTCGCGAGGTAATTCTGCAAGCGGCGTGTTATTGTGGCATGCCGGCTGGGATTGAAGGCTTTCGCGTGGCGGGGCGGGCGGTGCAGGAATGGCATGAGCAGAAATTGCGAGAGGGTGAGATGAGTCGTGGGGATCAGGATCGGCATTATGATGTGGATGTGGCTAGTCGGTCGAAGGAGGATTGAGGGAGGGAGGGAAGGATTGATTGGTTTGATTGAAGCAGCAAGTCCTATAGCAAACGAAACGATGCTGCTACTGCTGCTGCTTAGGGAGACTTGATTTCTTCGAGTTGGGGCTGAAAAGTGAAACACACACACTGGAAGATATTGAATCGTCTAGACACTCAAATGAGACTCGTTTGCACACACACACATTCCCGTACCGTACCATACCATAGCACGCCATATCATACCCATAAAGTCCAGCGTCCAGATGTTATCCTGAACAGCTAGAAGCGGACTGGACCTCTCATTCAAACTCCTTCGCATTCCGGTCGATCAAGCCCTGCCCATTCATTAACATATACTCCGTGGTATCGCTTATTGCCCATCACGTGCCTTCCTCCAGCTCTCTTCCTGTTCCTGCTGTAGCTCCCCGACACTCCGCGCCACGTCCTCCAAGATCTCCGCAGCACGCATGTGATACTCGGCCTGTGCCTTGGCCAACTCGACGAGATTCCTCAGCGGTTCAGGAGTGTCGAGCACATTGCGCATAATGCTGGTGGCCTCATCCACCTTCTCGACGAACTGGTCCTCGGCGGCTTCGATGGCGTGACGCTGCTGCTCAGTGTAGGACTCCTCATGCTTTCCGCCTGCTGCGGCCTTGGACTTCACGGCATCCAGGTTCAAGCGTGCATTCTGCACAGCGGTCCGGGCCTTATCGGCGGATTTGATGCTCTGGTTCAGGGTTGTGCTCCAGCCTGCAAGGAACTTGCCTTGGATCTTCTCGTCCTGATCAAGGCGAGCTTCGCCAACTTTCTCAGAAGCAATGGCGAACTTCTCCAGACCCTGCGAGAGAGGGTCAGGCTCAGTGCTGCCCTGTGGCGTCGCCGTTGCGATGGTCTGGGAGCCAGCGAGAGAGGCGCGTGCGATGGCGTGAGAAAAGGTCTTCGGCTGTGGCTTAGCGGAGGGAGGGGCAGTGAGAGCGGCCTGGGCTTCGGCGGCGCTGCCTGCTTTACTGAGGAGGCCGACCTGGACGCATAATATCATCAGCTGCGGCGCCAAATTGTGCACTCGAGTGAGTAAATTACCTTCTCGCTGATGCTCTTGCCCAAGTCCTGGAAGCTCTCCTTCACGTTCGGGGGGTAATCGTATGCCTCGTTCGCGTACTGGCTGGTGGCCGCGAGCAAGCGCTGGTGCGTCTGCTTCAGCGCGTCAATGCGCGTCTCCAGTTCGACATAGTCGTGTGGCAGTTCCGTCTTCTCGCCGGCGTTGCCTGTCTGCTCTTTGATCCACTGCTGACTGCGAGTCGCAAAGGGCGTGACCGTGGAGCCGATGGTATTGGTGAATGCGCGGAACTTGTCCATGATGGCGGCTGTGTCTTCGCTGCTCTGTTCGACAGCAAGCACTTGTTGTTGTTGTTGATATACACGGGGGGAGGTATGTGCTTCAGGAGTTCGTGTTGACTGTCGTAGACACGAAGGAGTAGTCAGACTAGGTTGTGGTAGCGCAAGTAGTGGGTGGAGCACTCCGCTGCTGCAAACAAGGGTCTCTCTCTAATGAGTGGCTTGGCATCCAGTCCTGCCCGCGATAGTGGGACAATGAGATCAGGGGAAGATAGGAGGTAGGACTCAACATAGGAGGCAGTGTGTACACATCGATGGAATACCACTTTAAGATGGCGTACTTCATCAATATCTATCTAGATATACGGCGGGCGAAAGCCGACACCTCCCTGAAGGCTGGAGTACTGTACGTGCTGCTATCACCACCATCTCAATAGTCGTACAAAGACGTAACCTTTTTTCCACCATTCGGCAACTTCACTCTCAAAATTGCTCCTGGGTGCAATCTCAAGTCCGTTCCATTGTTCCAGTCAGGCTGAAATGGCAACTGGTTGATGTTCAAATACCTGCGAATACGTTAGAACTCAAGCCCATCCATGGCCACGTCGTTATTGCGGTTGTCTCATGATCATCATATGTGTATTGTGATGTTTGGACTGATTTCACTTACAGATAGCCAGACGTTGAAACAGACCCGCCATCAGGCCATATGATTCTCGGATCTCTGGCGAAAGGTTTGGTCAATCCGTCCGTTGGATCAAAGTAGTAGACCGCATTCTGCTCAGGCATGAGCTGATAAATGTAGCCGTTTGTATCTCCTTCGAAGCCGTTGGCGTTCCCGCCTCGCTGTCCATGGTTCGAAACGTTGGCGTGTGCGAAGACCTCGGCAGATGCACACTCAGAAATCTTGAGGCGGAGGTTGGCAGTGGGAATAGACCAGAGGTAATTCGTTGACAGAGGAGAGTAGTACATCCTCTGTCCATCGTCGCTGAGATTGATACCATCGAGACCTTCTTTCTGCCAATTGGTTCCCATGCCCTTCATGTCAAGATACTTTGGTGCGCCATAGTATGAGGGAACCGCATTCAAACCACGTAGAACAGATCCATCCTGGTCCAGTCTTCGCCAAGATTCACCGGTCCCCAGATCCACCATAATGAAACCTGGCCGGCCTTCATTGGAACTGTCCACTAGGTATGCGATACCTTTGCCGGAAGTACCTGACAGATTGGGATTGAAGTCGAAGCCTAGGGCATTGTCAGCACAAATATACCTCCTGGCGATAATCGCATAGCTAGAGATAGAAAATCACTCACGAAGATCATTAAGATAGCTGTCTGGGTAATGCACGTCTGCAGGAAAGGTGTAGGTCTGGTATATTGTGTTGTTCTGTAGCGATATGGCCACAAGCTTTGGGCCGCCAGGCTGTGCATATGGCATTGAAGGCTCTCCTGCCGCGTTGTGTACGGTTGGTCGACCTGTATCGAGGGCCCATAGTGTCTCTGGACGTCCAGCGCCTGGCGAAGTAATGTATAGAGCCTGCACTGAAATGAATGCAGAAGCGTTCCCAGATCCGAAGGGAATGCCATTCCAGGTGGTGTTGAGCTGATCAGGCGGGAGGTTGAGTTCAGCAGAAGGATATGGCTCTTCTGCTGTTTTGTTCGTGATCACTCCTAGAGTATAGACGTAATCTCCACGGGTATAAGAGGCAAAAAGGCGGCCATCTGACGCTGCTGCAATACCGATTGGGAACTGATCGTAGTAGTAATGGACCTCTTCCACGGCGGGTCCAAAGGTTCCATTGTCGACTCTCAAAATGGTGGTGATTGTGCCTGCTGGCGTTTCAAAAGTGGCATTTTGTGCTGCTACTCTGCTTGCAATCAGCAGACACGCGATGCCTGTTGTCCACATTGTGCCTTGCTTGCAATGGGAGAGTGGAAAGGATGGAACTGGGGAATCTCGATGCGGTCTTCATCAGTACTTATATTACATACCAGCAGCACCTACTAGTCTAGCGTAGCGTCCGCTAAAACGGCATTGCTTGTGCTCCACGTGGAGAGGCATTGCGGTCATGGTGCAACGCTGTTGTGGAGGAGACTACATGCATGTAGGAGGTACAAGACGGTTCAGACGGAGGAGATCGAGAAAGTGGTGACGTGCTGAGCGCGTCGGCCGGGCGGCGATCTGTGCTCGAACATTTCGACGACGTGGGTCGTCGCTCGTCCTCCTCCTTCGTGAACAACAGATGTACAGGTATGTAAGTAAGTAGGCAGACATGTTGAGAAGTCGTTCGCTATACAGCTCACGGTGCGGAGACGATATTCATACTAGAATAGGGGGTAGGTAATATCTCATACGCTGGCTACGCTGTCCGTATTCTCAGCACTTGCGTCGCGTGATAACCACAATTCTTCCCCCGTACACGCTTCCATACTATCGGCAAACTCCTGTGCTCTGGCCAGCATCCACCGCGAGCTGACTCCAGTGCGATGCGCTCCCATTCTCGGTATAGGAGAGAATTCGCACGTGCCATTCGAGAAGGCAAATTGCACGCATTCCAAGCGGGCGACACAGATTTCGCGACAGACATCCACTGAATCGGCGGGGACGCCTTCAGAGAAATTGCCACTGAAGTTATCCCAGTCGTCGACTCGGCCAGATCGGACGAGAAGGCGTGGCATGATGTAGGACTCGAACACATCTCGGTGGCGAATGATGGTCTGGGGCTAGTTTGGACTTAGTTCTGTGTCGCTCTTCAATACGCACAACTCCTTTCATCGGACATACCTTATCCGCGAGCCATTGCTGCTCAAACTTCCACAACTCGGCGACTTCAGCTGGTACGAGCCCGTGGTGCGATATGGAAGGATAGCACCACAGCCTTCTGCCATCACTATGTGTGGTGTAATCCATCTCTGCAGGCCGATGCCTTTGGAAAATCGGCCAGGCAGGATTTAATGGAGCTGCAGCAGCTTCCAATAGACCTCCGACAATCTCGTCTCCGCTGGGACTTTCTTCCGTGAGGCCTTCCCAGATCACTTTGTTCTTGTCGAACATCTCCACCGCTGCCTTTACTGCTGCATGTGACAGCACGAAGCCCGCACTTGCCAACGCGTATGATAGATTATGTGTTTTCTTCCTTGCACCGATATAATGCGGTTCCGCAGAATCCAGAGTGTCCAGCCAGCTAAGGAGGTTGGACCAGAAGATATACGTGTCTGTTTCTAGAAACACATACCACTTGCGATCGGGGTGCTCCGCGTACGTCTTTTGAATCATAGGCAGCCACTTCCACTTATCGAGCCGCCTCGTTGTGTTTTCGGAATTCCACAATTCTTCATCCTCTAGAACATCCGGGCCTCCTGCCTGGAGTCTTCGCCACAGTTCAAAATCCGGATGCGAGTGCTTAATCTTCTGATCAACGGAATCGAGGACATCGAGTATGAGATGCCCTCGATATGTCTCCTTCCAGTCCGAGAAGATGATATAGGTGGGATAGCATAGGAGAGTTGTCTCGAGCAGGGTCGGCAGCCTTTCTTCTAACTCGGCTGTACTGGTTTTCAGAGCGACAACCACGTCGTTTGCGCCAGGCAGTTGCGAACATGGGAGCGCTTTTCCGGCTTCTTCCTTTGATCGCGCAGCAGGCCGATCATACTCTGGATGAGGTCCGTGGAAGAAGAAATATAACAAGCCAAGAACTATTGTCAACGCTAGCAGTTCGAGGAGATATTTGCGCCGCGGTCTGCGAAAGTAGCCCATGACAACGATTCGGGGGGCATCAGGGCCACGCGCAACTGGCAATCAATACAGTTACAGGAGTCGCGCGAGGGTCGTCAAGAATGCTGTTCATACACTGCATAATCTGCATGCTGCTGCTGCCCGTCCAGGAGGTCTCGTTTTTCGCGGCTGGATGCCGCGGCAAAGCTTAACTCCATAGCCGGTGATTCCTTGTGCGAATAATACGATGAATGCCCAGTCAAGAGAGCCGTGGTAGTGGTACCGTTTGAATAGGGAGTCAGGTCAGATGTGGAAAAGGAGTTCCCATCGACATCAGTATAACTGTTCTGCATGCCCTGTAGTACTAATAGAACTCCGAAATGGTTCCCGAAGGAGTTCTACCGCAGTTTTCGCAGAAGCCGATCAATTTCTGACCAACAAGAGGGGTCAAGCAATTTGCAGCAATTGGATATAATCATATAAAAAGGAAAACGCGCCTAAATGTCTATATTGAGTCAATTATCCGCTCATTCGCCCACGCGGTCAGCAATCGCTCGTAGGTACATGTACATAGTCAGCGTGTTGCATCCCAAATGCTTTCATTCATTGGCACGACTCGTCTTCCCACTTCGATGACCTTCGAGCTACCTCCATCCCGCTGAGCTCAGCTCGCCATAGTATAAGTATATCACCCAGAGCAAGGCAAGACTTGCTCACTCTCCTTCCCTTCATGTCATCATCATCATCCAAACCACAACAGCCACCAGACTCGAGACCACAGACTCCACAACCAGTTTCCTTGAACTTCAAAACCGCAGCATCTCTCATAGCCCTTCTCGCCGTGATACTGGCATTCTACAATACCTTTCGAGCAGCGCTTCCCAAAGTCGCCCAGACCGCTTCATCAACGAGTACCTCGACCGCGAAACGAGCCATGAGCACCGCAGCGATGACCACGAGCACGACCACCTCCCCATCTCCCTCTACCAACAAGAATGGCAGCACCTCGATTCTCCAAGTCACCAAAAGACCATGGAATGAAAGAGGCAAGGCGGATCACGGCTGGCTGTATTCCTTCCACACCTTCAGCTTTGCGAACTACTACGACCCGAAATACGAGTCCTTTGGACCTCTCCGCGTGATCAACGAAGATCGCGTAGAACGCGGAACAGGTTTCGGCACGCACGCACACGCCGAGTTTGGTATTTGGAGCTACATTGTCCACGGCGAGCTCGAACACAAAGACAGCATGGGCAATCTAGAGAAACTGCGAAGAGGCGAAGTCCAATTCACGAATGCGGGAACAGGAATTCGTCATTCCGAATACAATCGCAACCAAAACGAAGACTGCCATTTTTTGCAAATTTGGGCTAAGCCCAATGTGCGAGGTCTCACGCCTTCGTATTGTACGAGAAAGTATCCGGATGAATTGAAACAGGACAGACTGGTGCGGATTATGGAGGCCAAGGAGAGACATGGTGGCAAAGAGGGTGATACGGAACCGATTGAAATCTATGCCGATGTCAGTATGGATGCGTCGATTCTTTCGCCGGGAAAAAGCGTCGAGCACGAGCTGGTCGCCCCCGGGAAGAGAAATGTCTATCTGCATTTGGTGATGAGTGATAGACAGCAGCCGAAGACGGGCGGCGCGAAGATTTCCGTGGGGGGTACTGTGCTCGGTGAGGGCGACGGAGCTTTCATCAAGGCAGAAGGCCCAGGAGTGGTTCAAGTCGAAAGTGTTGGAGACTCACAGGCTGAATTCCTCCTGTTCGATATGGGCCAGTAAAATGTTACCTACCAGGTACCTTAGGTAGGTATTCTCTGAGACTGCAGTATTGCTCAAAGTTTCGCCAGTGGTAGCTCTCCCGACGACGTGTTGAACGTGAACAAATTTCTCCCATCTTTCCCCGTGCGAACCCACCCTCGTCTCCCGATGGGCTCTTTCTGCCAGCTGCTCAATTCCTCCAACGTTTCCTGATCCGCATGGTTGGCCACGAAGCGATGTCCATTTAAGAGTCTGCCAACGACATGTCCTCGAGCGGGAGTTCCATCGCGGTTGTAATCCACCGTGTACGTCTGTCATAATCAAATCAATAATCAGCCACTTCCAGCTCTGCACGACACACACACAAACACACAAATATTTCACCTCAGGTACAGGTACAGGTACAGGTACAGATACAACAACTTACTTCGACAATAGCTTCACCTTCCGGTGGTTTCTCTTCAATCCGCGGCACCTGCACATCATGCACCACCTTTGGCAGGGGATTCTCATCCGGATATGGCAAGCCATCTTTTCTCGGGCTACGACTCATCAACAACACATGCTGATACGTCAACCAGCCTCCATTCGCCAGCACGAGTCCCGTTTTCCCCTTTCCCGTTCTCAACTGCCTCGTCATTTCCGTGATGGCGTGCATACTATAGTTATTCCCGGCGCCTCCAAAGGACGTCAAACCGCCCAAGAGCGTCAAGGACCTCTTCTCGCCGCCGCCGCCGGTGGTGACAGGCGGGAGGTGGAGATGGTGCGCGGCGAGTTTGGGCACAATGGGAAAACACGAGTAGATGTCGTACAAGTCGATTTCTTCCGTGTACACTCCAGATACGTCCAGTGCGGCGTCCAGTGATCGAGAGAGGGACGGACTCCACCAGTATTCAGGCCTCAACCAGTATTCGGGACTATCGGATGTTCCAGCTCCACCGAGAGGGTATATCCATTTCTCATAGGGGATTCCCAATTCGCGAGCATGGTCTGTAGAGGTCACAATACAAGCTGCGGAGCAGTTGACTGTATTGAATGCATTCATGAGGAGAGGATACGGGTGGCAGATCATTCGGTTCCTTTTCCCTATAGTCGCAATACTAGCCTCTGTTTCCGCAGGCGCTGGGTACGACCAAGCATTTTCGTTCTGTTCTGCGACTTTGGCGAAATCGGCATAGAGTTTTGCAGATTCCACATGGTTTGCTTCGATGGTCTGACCGCGATGGGCTCGAAAGGCGTTCTCATACAGAGGATACAGCTGTATCGGGTTGGCGCAGAAGTGTCTGGCGCCATAGTCCTGCTGAAGCTCTCGCGTGGTGGGAGAGAAGACGGATTGTACGTCTTCGGAAGGCGGAGTCCAACCCGGAGGAGGCATTTTCTTTGCAGCAGCACATGCCGTCAACGATGCGAGCGCCTCGGCGCCAGTGACAATCGCAACTTTGTTCTCTCCTCGTGAAATCCGGCGTGCTGCCTCATCGACGAGTTTGGCGGGTTGATTCCCGCCATGATCACTATATTCGGCGTGCAAGGGCTTGACAGCAAGTCTATCGGCAATCAGGCTGGGATAATCGGCAGGCCAGGTCCAAGTCTTGACCACAGAAATGCTATCGATATTCTTTTGTAACTTCACCAGAGCAGCAGCAGCGAGCCCAGTGTCTTGAATGGCTTTCTCGATAGCTTGGATCATGAGCTGTAGGGGTTCGATGGCATCCTCTACACTTTTGCTACGATTGACGACATCGCCAATGCCGACAATAACTGGAGTCTTTCTGGGTGAGCGCGACATGAAGAATGCTTGATCGGTTTCGTCAATGTCAAGTATGTGGACGTTCAAATGCACATAAAAATGGCGTTGTGGACGATGGATGTGGTGGTACCTATGTAAGGTACCAGGTAGGTACATATACCCCTTCTAGCGCGGCAAGAAACCTCGGCCGTGTCCAAGGAAACGAGTCATCAGAGCATTGTCACGACTAAATTTCTTGTGTACCCCCTCCCGTCCTGTACGATCCCAGCTCAAGTATCTAGGTGACGCCGCGACGGGCACAGCTGAAAGTATTCACTCAGAGGCACATAACCCACTCGCTACAGACAGATAGATGCTGGACACCTGATCATTCAACGCACTTCTATCCCAGCGACGCTGCTCTTAATCGGCACGTTCCTGAATGACTACCAGCTCAGAGTTCGATTGTTCTCGATATGCCTGGTTTGCGATTGCTCTACACACTGCGGCATAAATTATTCCTCTGCGAGGTCCTCTCATATCAACATGTCCATATCGACGACACGACACCATCCTTCGACTCCACCCTTAGTTAAGCATGAGCCAGCAACCAACCTCCATCAATGACCAGAGTAGATCCGGTAATGTAGCCATTCACAGCAAAATTGAGCACCGCCTGAGCATAGTCCCGAGAATGTCCAGCTCGTCCAAAAGGAATTCCCCAGCCTTCTGGCTTTCGGAAGAACTCCTTCGCCTGTGCATCGTCGCGCGCAATAGGTGTCCTGAGGTTCAAATTAGCATTGAAGGCGCGATTTGAGAGGCGGGGGGGTGATAGTAAGGTCAAGGTAGGTGGGATACTCACATCTCGCTCGGAAAGTAGCCAGGCGCAAGAGTGTTGACTCGAACTTCGATTCCCGGTCGCTTCAAATCTACGGCGAGCTGCTCCGTCAAGGAGATAGTTGCGGCTTTGCTTGCATTGTACGAAAATTGGCCATTCTGCGACTCTTTTGTGATACCCGAAATGGAGCTGATGTTCAGGATGTTTCCAGCTTCGCTATAGCCAAAGTCTCTCGCTGCTACGAGTAGAGGCAAGAAGGCAGCAGAAGTGAAGTAGTAGGAGGCGACGTTGATTTTGTAAATGGAAAGCCAGTCGTCAAAGTTTTGGTTCTCGAACATGGTCTTGCTAATGTCCGCGACACTGCCTGACGGAAACCCGCTGGGGCCATAGTTCACTGAAGTGACCTGGAGTAGTATGCCCAAGGTAAGCAAGTATCTCAAAATGTTTTTGGATCGGATTAAATCTGGAAGAGACGGGAGCAGGTTCTCAAGCTCACGAGACACCTGAACTCAAAGATATGTCTCGAGCGGTCGCTTGATTGACTACTGACCCCAGCGTTGTTCACCAAGAAGTTGACAAACTTCTCCTTGCTCGAGATTTCCTTGACCCCAGCCTCGATGCTCTGCTTATCGGTGCAGTCCATCTGTAGACCGATAATTGCACCACCACTCTCCGAGTCCGTCATCTCGGCATCTTTGAGCTTCTCGAGCCTTCGTCCTGTGATATACACCTTGACACCATTTGCACAAAGTGCTTGGGCCGTGATGAGACCAAGACCAGTGCCTCCGCCCGTCACCACAGCCACTCGGCCCTTGGTGTCGAAGAGAGATTGTGCCCTTAGCTCGTTCAAGTCACCCATCCTGTCCTGCAATGTTATGAAATGAGGTTGATGCTACAATATAATGGTATGGGATGGATGAAGGTGGACGATGCACGAGTGCCGGTGCTGGTGATTTACTTTGTATCTCCCGTCCATCATCATCCTGTTTCACGCCGGCTAAAGTCCACGTTTTTAGCATGTTGGAGTGCTCTGATTCGACGACTATGCCCCCAGCACCTAGTTCTCGCACAGTTCCTCCGCCGAGCTGTAGCCTGTCCGTGGCTTCGCCGTTAGGCGACTGTCGACCTCCCCAGCGATAGCCGCTGACAGCAGACTTCGGTCCAGTGACGAGGTTGTAATTTATGGAGCCCATGCAATTCCGGAGAGAGAAAGTGAGGGGTTGGCGAAGGTGAACCTGAGGGCACAACTAGAACTAAAAGGGCGGAGAGCTTCATTTCCGCCTCAAGCCATCCAATCAAATCTGCCAAAGTGGACCTCATCGCTCGCTACACGCCCTCACGACACTCCTTTCACCATCATTATCATTCTATCATCTTTTTGATTGTTCGGCAACCTCTCAAGGTGTATTGTGGCGATCTGTAGGACCTACACCGGGCTGTTGTCTATCGCGGAAGAGGGATTTGGCGAGGGACAAACCTTGGGAGGAGCGTGTTATGAGTGGAGTTTCAAGCTTTATACGCTTGTCACTCCTCATTGTATGCCGCCGGTCAGGTTAGCTGCAGATGGGTATGCACATGCAAAATCGTGAATTCGTTCTCAGGTATTGTACCTTACTACTCGAAATACTGAGCCGTGGCTGAATTTTGATGCCCTTAGGTGTCGCTTTTGACGCCGTGTTCATACCCTTTACACGCCAGTAACGCCTCGCTCCGCAATAGCATCGCATATCACTGCAGTAACGCAGAAGTGAATGCAAACGTACCCTGCATATGCAGTGCACTCTCAGAAGGTCCGAGTATCCGGAATCAGTGGTTACCCAGCAGGCCGCGTGGCGTGCGAGATCCAAAGCTAGAGTGCATCCTGGCGATTGCTCAGCTTCCATCCCTTCTCGACTCCTTGAATTGTCGACCATGCCCGTAAAACCATGATGAAGAAGCCCTAGGCTAGTACGCTCATATCGACGCGCTTTTCGGCGAAGTCCCAGAGCATCTTGATGAGCGGATCGGGTAGAGTGTAAAGATCCACGTGGAACTCTCCGTCTGTCAATATAGTAAGTACATGTCCAGATGACTGAGCAACTGGCAATATTCGACGCCTCACTTACTTTCAACATCATTCTTGGTGTATGTCTCTTCGCTCTTGTTGTCGTGCACCATCTGTACAACCTGCAGAAGATCGTCCTCGGCTAGCTGGGGCAGGGCCTCAGCAAGCTTCTCCATATCCACGTTACGATTCTGCTTCTGTCTCTTCTTCTCCGGCTTCGCCGCGCCCGAAGCACCATTGGTCGTGCCGGCATCGCCTACCGACCCGGATTGGCGCAGAGCCTCGAGTAGCTCACCCTTGGGATTCCTGAAAGTGACCGAGTGTGTGCTCTCGTAGCGCTCTTGCTGGAAATTGAGGTCGTGCTGGATTAGCTGGTCTCCGCCTTTTGGTGATCCGATCGGTACGAGGGTAATTGACATGTCGAATTCTCCCCAGCCCTTCTCCGTAATGGCAAATGGCGGGCTCTTGAACGCTATGGGCTGGTCAGCGGCTATCCTGTCCTCCCACCGCCTTGCTCTTGAATATATATCTTCAACGTACTCTGCTTCATTCTCTTGCCAAAAGACTCGTGGAGCATGTAGATCGCTTTGTCGAAGCAGCTCGCTGGCATGTCCTCGCCATCGGGGCCCACGAGATAAATGCTAATCTCCCATCTTCGCATCGGGAAACCCTCGACCTCTGGCGGATCATCGCTGTAGTTGCTCATTAGTTCGCCTGTCGTGCGAGTGCCAGGGCCAATGCAGTGACATCTTACGTGACTCGCTGCGTCGTCACCAGCTTGACGGTGCGTTTGACCTGATCGCTGGAGTTAGTCTGGCTTTTGCGCTTGAGTGATGGCATATCGGCGAGGCAGGGCAGGATCGCGGAAGTGATGGTGCTGCAGTAGAAGGTGAATGATATGCTGAGGAAGGTGAATGTGGTAGCGAGAATCAGTGGGACTCACATCAGGCATGGTCGTGGTGTGGAAGCGAAGTGAAACGTGAAGTGTGTGTGTGGTTGCGCGGTTGCTAGCAGCGCAGGCAAGCGTCGCGTCGTTCGCGGCTTTGTTCGTTGAGCAAAGTGCGTTGTATTGGGGCAAACTGAGATGTTCGCTATGTCAAGCGACGTGATGTTTGAAGAGGGAGGCACGATCGAGAGTGGTGGATGGGTGGGTGTGTGAGAGTGAGAGAGGGAGGAGAGCCGTGGCAGAACGCGTGAAGTTCAGTCGAGTCGAGCGAGCATTGCCAATGTGGGATCTAACAGCCGGGCGTGTACAGCGGGCAGTTTGTGGAGAAGCTTATCCGGCGGCTCAGCCCGGCCCTGGTTTGCCTGATATGAACCACGATGCACGATGAGCGATGGACCATCCCTAAGCACAGATTTCACTTGAACAGTGGATTGCCACAAGCATACCACGTCTTCCACCTGCAGCGGCATGTCATAACGGGGTGGAAAGATTGTGATGCGAATGTGGGTGCATGTTAAGTGATTCTATCTAAACGTTCTGTCTGTCTCGAACTGTGCTGACAACCGCTTCGCGCTCGCTCTCGCAGCACAATTGCATATACAGTGCCGTGCCAGGAGTCGGTGACAGTGGGTGATGAGGGTATCGATCAGTAAGTGATCGAGGATGCGGAACGCCCAGAGTGATGCTATGATGTTGGGAACAGCTCCAAAATTCATGGCTGGAATAACGACGCAAGCGCTGTCAATACTTCGACATCTCCGCTCGTGCCTCAGCCAACGAAATCAGCTTCATGGGCTGGAACACACCAGACGCACAAGCTGTGGACGGACTGGGTTTGGATGATGGTGATGAGATGGGCTGGGAATGGGATCTCTACTCCTCGCTCTTGCCAAAGATCGCTTCGTTGTCTTGTTGAGCCTTGATGAAAGCCTCCTTGAATAGGTTGGCGTCTGGTACTACTTGTTAGCAAACTTCGACCATGCTTAGATCTCGCGTGAAAACGTACTCTCAGAATTGCCGAAGCGGATGGCCAGAGTAGAGGCTTCTGGCTCGCCCTCAGACACATCGGCGGCAGCGTTCCACACCCAACTGCGGTCGCTGCCAACATTTGGAGACAGCTTCATGTCCGGAACGACTGGGTTCGTGTTAGCCTTGTCCATCGCATGCTTTCCGGACCTCAGATTGTGCACATACTGTAGTGGTTGGCGCACACCTTGAGCGTCTTGTCACGTCTCATCACAAGGCGTGTCTTGCCATTCTCCTTGTGCTTGAGCAGTCTCACGTCACCAGTGCCTCGCTCCTTCCACTCACGACTCTCGCGATCAAATTTGAAGAGCTTTGCACGCATCTTGAAAGTCTGCTCCTCGGCTTCCTCGTTCGTCTTGGTCTCGACCTTTTCTGTGAGATGGACAACGGGCTCGAAGTGTGCATCTGCCTCCTCCTCGTCGGCCTTGTCATCATCGTCATCCTTCTCCGCAGCTTCCTTGTCCTTCTGGGCTTTGGAGCTGCCAGATCGGTCATTCTCTGCATCTGCATCTTCTTGCTTGGCTTCCTTCTTTGGTCCGCCGCCAAACATGCTGAAGACGTTTTCTTTGGCTGCTGTTGCTGCGTCGGAAGCCTTCTCATTGACGGTCTTGTCCTCCGACTTCGCCTCGGTGACGGCGTCCACCTTCTTATCTTCTTCCGCCATCTTTTTGTTTGTTAGACACTAGTCTGGTGTGGTAAGTGCAGTGTGTTTGGAGTGTTGCTCGCGGACGGGAGATTGTTTGATCGCGGGGATGGAAGTTGTGTCAGGGATGGTAAAGTCGATGTTTGCCGAGCAGCCTCGATTTTTGACACGCCATAGTGTAAGGTACGACGGGCAACCGCCCCGCCCCGCATGGAACTCTGTCTTCACCCACTGCATGCCCGTACAACGTTGTAGGCCCCTTCTTCACATGTAGGTACCCTCGCATACATCGATTGCCCACATTCATACCCTCACATAGCAAAAATTATACCACGACGGAGCTGAGCGTACTGGGACACACATGCTCCTGGTCAACTGTGAAGGCGGGGATAACGAGAAATCACTAGGCGGGGTAATAACGATGCTACAATCATACAATGCACCAACGATTCAGGAGAAATCGAGGCTGCATCTCACTGACAATGAGGTAGCGATATCTTCGAGACTACATCTACCTTACCTATTAATATTCTTTGAGCGCTGTAAACTGATGGCTTACTTGAATGAGCTAACCAAGAACCAGCTCGCTAACCAATCGACATTGCAAAGGAAAGCTGCCAGGAGTCCTCCGATGGTGTCTTAGAATGTAATAGAGCGGGAGGTTCGCCATTAAATTCCGAATACTACCAATAGACGTCGGCTGACCGCCTTCTGTTAAAATCATGTGTCTCCTAGCTACCTGCATAGTCTACCCAACCTGAATGACAAATTGCCCAAGGAGGAACTTATGCGCACATGGGCTCGCGGCATGGAGTCGAACGTTGGACCCTCTCTGTTACAGCAGCTTTGAGCCTCCAAAGACGTGATAGCTTAGGGTTCAGATCTCGGAACGAGAACCATTGTAGTATCCAAAGCAATACTAGGACGTACGACCTCGAGCTTCCGTCTCAACCGGCCAAAGACTAGTTCCAACCTGATAAGTCTCATTTGGCGTGCCAAATAATGAGACTGGTTTTGCTCCGTATGCGTGCGTAGGTCGCACAAGATTGCCACTAGACGAGCTTGACTTGCCTCCGGGACTGATTGCTGACATACGGCGCAAAGACTACACACGACCTTCCAATGGCACAAAGAGCGCTTTGCATCAGCAACAGGTGGTGTGACTGGCATTGGGCTGTGGACACAAGGCTTGACCACATTTGCTCGGGATCGACTAGGAAGTAGCAGATGCCGCCTGAGTCTCCTCATACCACCACCGGCGAAACTGCTTGAGCCGTTCAGTCCTTTCTCGAGCAAGCTGCTTGCCAGTCTGGGTCTTCATCATGTGCTCGATCTTAAGTAGTTTCTCGTCAAAGTGGTCCATACTGCCCTGCAGGCCTCGAGCGGATGCTTTCACCGCGCCGAATGCAAAGACGCGACCGATACCCACTGCACCAATAGCATCCAAACGATCTGCGTCTTGAACGATAGCGAGCTCCGGATGTGAATTGATGTGAGCTTTGACAAGCTGCGGCCTTTTGATCTCGTTCGTATACGAAACGTTCTCAACAATGAGTGCAATTTTTGCCACGTCCTTGGGCGCACATCCATTTCTGCTGAGAAAATCCGAGACCAGTTGTTCCGCATTTTCGCCAGGTTGAACGTACTTCTTGTCGCCAACGTCGTGGAGCAGAGCAGCGAGAATGACTGCTCGTTCGTCGAAATTTTTCGTCGGCTTGGTTTTGATTTCTTCGGCCAATATGTGTTTCGACAGAGCCAGCACTCGGAGAATATGGTTGAAGTCATGCGAGCAATCGTAGCGACTCATATACTCCTGCACATACCCATAGGCCTGTTCATACAGTTTTGTACTCTCGAAGGGGACCACCTTGTTGTCGTCCTGGAGGCTGCTCATCACTGGAATGGACTAAGCACGGAGTATGTGAATTTCTGAATGCTGGTAGCTCTGCGGTTCCTGATGATCAGTCTTGTGAGTCTCTGTCGCTCAGGTAGGTATGTAGTCGCGTGTTTTGCGTGGAAGACGCGTTGAGAGTAAGATCAAGTAATCAGAAGCACAGACAGCTCGGCTTGCGTTGCCTCACTCTAGCTTCTTTTGAACAACACCTACTGCCACCGGTACTACCACCCGCCCTCAGTCGCCATCATCACGAAAGCACGGAACAGAACGCGCATACCACTTGCCATCGACCGCATAATACCAATACGACACCGACGATGCCAGCGACCACGGCTGAGACGCTGCAACTCGTGAACCGCACTGTTTCCGTAGCGCCTCTCGTCCTCCTCTCAGCTGCAGATCACTACGGCCGCTCGGCGAAGGGCACGCGGAAACGTGTGGTGGGCGTGTTGCTGGGTCAGAATGATGGGAAAAGCGTGAGAGTGTCAAACAGCTTTGCTGGTGAGCGATCTGCAACGGGTCTTGCTGAAAGATGTGCTCTGATCACGTACAAACAGTGCCATTCGAGGAAGACGAAAAGGACCCTTCCGTATGGTTCCTGGATCACAACTATGTCGAGTCGATGAACGACATGTTCAAAAAGGTCAACGCGCGCGAGAAGCTCATCGGGTGGTACCACTCCGGTCCCAAGTTGAGGGCGAGCGATCTCGAGATCAACGAGCTGTTCAAGCGTTACACACCAAACCCACTCCTGGTCATCATTGATGTTCAGCCGAAAGAGGTTGGGGTGCCGACAGATGCGTACTTTGCCGTGGAAGAGATCAAGGATGTATGCTGTCTACCTACTCCATCTCGGAAAACTGGTTGCTGACTGACAATAGGACGGCACGACCACATCGAAGACTTTCGTTCACACCCCGAGCACAATCGAAGCAGAGGAGGCGGAAGAGATTGGGGTGGAGCACCTGCTGCGCGACATTCGCGATGTTGCAGTTGGCACTCTCAGCACGAGGATAACGAGCCAGCTGGAATCATTGCAAGGTCTACATCTGCGATTACAGGACATCGGGAAGTACTTGCAAAAGGTCATCGACGGAGATCTGCCAGTCAACCATGCCATTCTCGGCAACCTTCAAGACGTTTTCAACCTGCTGCCCAACTTGTCAACGCCGAATGAAGTAGGGAAGGATCTACCATCGCTCAATGGTATAGTAAATGGCGGTGTTGGTGTGTCCGGCGGGCACACGGAGAACTCTGAGCTTGCGCGCGCGATGAGCATCAAGACCAACGATCAGCTCATGTCCATCTACTTGTCCAGCTTGATAAGAGCCATCACTGCTTTCCACGATCTCATTGAGAACAAGATACAGAACAAGCGACAGCAGGAAGACGAGGATGCGAAGAAAGATGAGGATAAGAAGGACAAGGAACTGAAGAAAGAGGAGAAGCTGATGCTCAACGGTACATCGGAGAAGGGAGAGGATGCGACGAAAGAGGGCGCAAAGAAGGAATCTCCTCCGTCTAAGAAGAAAGGTTGAGACGAAAGCTCCTCCAATGATGATACATGCACCACCAAGCATTAGCGACGGCGTCAGGATGTCTGTAGCCTGGAAGAGCGTAACGGAAGCGCGGCCAGCTTATCGAATTCGGCTGAGAAAGTCTACATTGAGCATGTACATTACCACAGATAAGACTACCAACGAGACTGGCCCGCAGCTCGGGGCGAGTGGCATGCAACGAATAGAGCTGAATATGACGAAGAGTCTTTCTGCCAAGCTCTTGCTGCCTGCAGACTCCTCTCCCCGGAGGCATGGAAAAGCCATCATTTCCACGATGACCATTCAATTCACTGTGTCCGTCACGTAGGAGGTAGGACGTGCCGCTGCTCTGTCTTGTGCAAGACCGAGCAGGAGCCATGGGCAATTTTATCGCTCCAGTGCAGGAAACTGTCAATCGTGGGCGCACCTCAGTGGCATGCGCGAATCGCAGGAGAAGTGCACGCGCGTGATCTTTCAATCATACCATCCAGCAGCCGAGCCTGCCAATTCCTCCATGGACACCTCTTTCTCTTCCACAAAGTGAGAGAAAGCGCCGCAGTGCTGAACTAACAAACAGGCCAACAAATGCTTACAGATTGGCACATCGTCCCCCCGCGTAAGTCCCCCTACTAGCACATCGGACTCCTCGGTCTGATCATCATTCTCCTTCTCATCAGATTGTGGCGCCGAAGCTGGGAAAGCGGAGAAGACGAAAGCTGGACAAGAGCAGCTCCACGCCTGTAGTCGTACCTCGTAGTAATTGACATGCTCGCGATTGTGACCCCTGTGAGTGCCGTAGTGCTGCTGTGCTGAGCGAACCATATAAGGACGCGTTTGTTGTGCCTGCGTTTCGTGCGACTGGACTTGCAGACGACTGACGAGATTCCGGTCGAGAAGATCTAATGCTGGGAGAAGCTCTTTCTCGAACAGAGCGTAGAGTGTCAGTAGGATATTTTTGCCTTCTGGTGCAAAATCTCGAAGCGGATTGGCGACGTGTGATGCATCCACGCCCTCTGATGGGAGTGAGTGGATGAGAGATGTTAACCATTGCCGTTGGCGGACTGTGGCATTTGCCATCGCTCATAGGCCGGACGGCCGGGCAGATCTATGAGGAATACGATGTCGGTTTGAATCTTTCTGCTTTTGTGACGTGTCTGCCGGAATGCCTGGGAGCTCTGACGCCCGAGTGGGAGCGGATGCTTCAAGTTGACGTGCCAATCATACATGTATCGATCCGGTGTGGTCACTTCATCAGTGGCAGGCCGGGAGCCTGAAGCTGACTCGCCGAATGGCAGTGGCCTGTGGCGGTGAAGGGAAGGGAAGGGCCGAGAATGGCGTGAGAAGAAAGAAGTATGCCTGGCCTTGTGCACTCCGTCACCAGCCCAGCGCATACCGCGTAGTTCTGGATAAACAGAGGTCGGTGAGGTGCGGTGCGGTACATGAATGTCCACGTGTGCTGGATGCGTGCCAGTGTGTGAGAGGCTCGCCGTGATCTCATGTTCAGGCCGCGGCAGGCGCTGGGATACGGTACAGACGGTACCTCCTACAGTTACCTACCTCCTAGTATACAGCATCATAGCCTATGACGCCCGGTTCGCATTGAGAGCGTGAGCGATCCCCCGCGCATGAGGCTCGTGCTCTGCCAAGTTCGAACTGTCAGATGACTCCGACGCGGCGACAGCAACAAGTTACAACGTCTCAAACAACCATCAGCAAAAGGCATCCAACCAACAGTTGAGCACCGGCAGCTGACTCGTCCGTATCCTGATTCCTGCCCAGGATCCTCAGACACAGAGCACCCTCCCTCTCCCTCCCTCTCGCTCTCTTCGCCTCCCATCCGTCGCGTGTGCCGGCAGCTCGGCCAACGCACACACTCACATGCAGATGACAGGACGCGCGACTGACCTTCGCTCGCTCGCCTCGGTGCATCCCACTCTCCGCTGGTGGTCATTTGGTGGTGGAGAGTTAGCTCGCTCTCGCATGGGATCAAGCTCCCTCCCCACCCCCCAATGCTGATGGATGTCAGCTGTGCGCTGCCAATGCTCCTCAATGGCCCCCATATGCGCCGCGCTGAAACGGGGGCTGACACCGAGAGAACCCTCGCGGCTTTGCGCGCATGAACGACGATACTCAATGGGCATTATCGAACAAACGAGTGTGCTGCACCTCACCGCTTAAGTGCGGGTCATCTAGCTCTGTTGCCCTGATACGGCCGCCTCCTCGCTCCGCCGAGAAGGGTGTGGGTGCCTCATCCATTGACTTCGCTGGCCATTCGGACAGGCAAACAGATGACCTAGAGCTCCTTGTCCGACACCAGCGGACGATGGACCTATCAGCGATCCTGGCCACTCCCACTGTGGCGCAGCGAACCGACACGTTCAATGCCAACACGTTCCTCCATGACGACGGATGTTGGGACAGGATGTCACGGTCATGGTCGGGCGTGGCAACAATTTGATGAAGAACTGACCTGGATATTGACGACAGTCCCAGAATCAGAAGGCCGACCCGCCGCACGTTTAACCGGATTGTTAGGCTTTCTGTTCGCCACCGAGTTGCACGAGCGTGGGGAGAGCAGTACCTCCAGGCTCCGTACGGCACGGCACTAAATGGAAAGTGAGGGTGACTCAGACGTGAGCTACCAAATCGCCATCCTAGGCAGCCAATGTCTACGCGGGCGCGTGGGCTACCGTACCTGATTCGCCAATTTGACTCGCCTGCTTTCTGGCACCTTCGTCGCTGTCTTCCGACGAGGGCGAAGTGCACGCATGACAAGGAATCGGGCTGCGACAGATTTCCAATCATGGGATGGGCTCCTGCCGACCGACCTGTTGTCTTAGGTCTGCTCTTTTCCTGTTTGCGTGTCATATTTATGCTCTCGCAGTCACCAGCCGCAAGAGCCTGATCCGTTGGTAACATATCTCTCTCTGACTCCACTGTACCAGCAGCCAGGAGGTCCAACACCTCACGTTCATGCTGACCTGCGAGCAATACTTATTCACTACTGATCATTGGCCAATACCAGTGCTACTTATCACAGCGCTGTCGCAACATCTTCCTGCCAATCGACCTTGAACGCAGGCACTCATCCGGACCTAGGCGGACAGAATCCAAGCATAGGTACAGCACAGCACAGCACAGCACAGCACGACGCGACGGGCTTCGCCACACACGCACATGATCCCGCTGCCCATATAAGGCTGACCAACTCGCTCGCCCTTGGGCAAACCCACCACGACACACCATCTACAGTCGCGAGAGTCTGCTATGGACTTGTCGCAACAGCCGCAAGAGAAGAGAATGGGACCAACATCACACCTGCTCACACCCGAGGAGCCGACGATAGACAGCTTTGAACAACACAGGCAGCCTGTCAAGCCTGTAGAGCCACGATCGCCACCAGCGTCACCAGCATTCAGGCCGCTCTCTCAAGACCATATTCTCTACCCGTATGAGGGCAACGATTCTACGCATACGCCACTATTCGCGGCCCATACCACTCCCGGAGCCACTCCAGAACGAGAATCTACACCAGCAACAACGGCTGCGTTGCAGTCACCTAGCCCAGCGGAGCCACACGCCCGACAGCAACAGCGACCACACTCGCCCAAAGAACCCCTGTATCCCAGGCCTGCTGTCATCAGTTTTGTTCAGCAGTATAACGCCGATCCAGTGGGTTATCACAAGAGGTGTGTGGCTGAGGTCATGGAATTGCAGAGGACCATGCGCGGGGCGCGAAAGCTACCTTCACCCATCTTCCAACCCGTCGAGCGCGATTCTCATACCAAACGACTCGTTGAAAGTCTAGGCAAGACAAGGGTAACCAAAAGTGGATCTACTCTTCCTGTCGCGATCCGAGCACGAGTCGACAGAATTGCCGCACCTGCGAGGCCATCACGGGCCGGTCCCATCGATGAAGAACGGACTATTCCGACCCCAACGAAGCGAGCCAGCAGGCAGACGTCCAGTGCTACCAACGGCATGAGCGGCCAACTCCATGCTGCTGCTGCACCGAAACCACGCACTCGTCAGCCTCCCAGCAAGATGGTCGAACGTAAAGACCAAAACTGGAGAGATGTGCCTGATCGATGCCCTCCAACCTCGTCGTTGGACACTGGAAGCAAGAAACTGTCGGTCGAGTGGCCGAACAAGAACCACCAAGACTTGAGTAATGATGAGGATCGCATCCACCTGCATGCACAGGAACTGGCAGTGGCATCGACTCTCAGGCTGAAATGTGACCGCTACATGCTCATCAAGCGCCTCATCTTCCAGGAGAAAGTGAAGTTTTTGAATGAGAACAAGGAGTTCAACAAGACGTCTGCGCAGGCGTGTTGCAACGTTGATGTTAACAAAATCAGCAAGCTCTGGCAGTCATTCAACGACGTGGGCTGGTTCGACAAGCACTGGTTCGAACAATACATGGAGTAAAGTGTGCTCGCCTTCCAGCCTCCCCCGGAGGCTACAGATGACAGGCAATTCGGTCACACAGTTTGACTGGCCCTTTCGGATTCATTTTGTGCGGGACGCGCACCTCTTTTTTATGCTTTTCATTCATGCGTTATTTTGGCAACAGCTTTGCACGACACTCACACTTTTCGGGAGTTTACGATTACAGGATATGGGATGAAGGCGGCCCGCTCTGGCAGTGGTCTGGATGAGATATGGACTTTTTGATGATTTGCATGAGGATATGAGTGCATTAGACCGAGTCTGGTGCAGTAGGTTGGATGATGTGCTAGATTGGACGCAGCTCCAGTACTTGTTTTGCTTGCATTATACCCCCTACTCTAGCTAGCCAGAGACGCCGATATAGCAATGACAGTTGTGTAGTAATTTGGACGGTTTCTTTCTTTCACAATGCAGACATTTGACGAAGCGAAATTGGCCATCCATTCCGATGTGGTGCTTACTTGCACAGCGCCGTGGAACAACATGACGGATTCGGGACTAGTGGTCGACGCGGTCAGATCGGAAGGGAGCGCGTTCGGCAGGAAAGAAAAAGGTTGCGCGTCCCTGAGGAGTTGTGAAGGAGTTTAGAGGGTTTAGAGGAGTGCTGGCGTGGTACGGTAGTGCGGGCCGGAGGGATCCTGGCTGGGCTGGGCTGGCACCTTGCAGCAGATTCAGCTCTTTTGATAGGAAAAGCGTTCCCTTCTTTCGTCCCAAGGCCACGCAGCAAAAGACGCAGAAGAAGGGGTTATTCATACCTTATCCATTCTCCATCTCTCTTTTGTCCCATCTCTTCTTCACAAGCGATGTGCATCGTGCCTGCTCATCACTCGTTCATCTTCTTTTCTCCTCTGCCCTTGTTCTAGACTTGCTTGCTTGCTTCCCTTCCCTTCCCCGTCATCTTCTCCTGCTTTTCCCAGGGTCTCCTCATCGACCTATCTGAGGCTGACAGCCACAGCCTGAACTTTGAAGTCACTGTAGAACTTCCACGACCATCCTTGCACGACGCCCAAGAACGCGTCCAGCAAGAACCTCACAGCACCCACACCGGGCATCCTGCCACGCGTCTGCCGTCATGGCGACGACCACCAATGCCTCTTCAACGGGCATCGACACCCAAGCTGACCTCAGGAAGCGGAATGTCGCTGCTCCCAATGGCACTTACGTGCCCAAAGAGGTGGCCGCCAAGCTGGACGAAAAGAGCAAGCAAAAGGTACGCACGCCTGAGCAGAGCACTGGACGGAGTGTGAGAGATGGATGATTGGAGCTGACCGCCGCATGTACAGACCAACTCTCTAATCCAGACGCTTGATGACTACGAATTCCTCATCGCGCCCATCATCTTCACCGCCCTGTCCTTCTTCACCCGCATGTGGAAGATTGGCCTCTCGAACATTGTCACCTGGGACGAAGCGCATTTCGGCAAGTTTGGCTCACACTACCTCAAACGCGAGTTCTACTTCGATGTGCACCCTCCGCTCGGAAAGATGCTGGTCGGGCTGTCTGGATATCTCGCGGGCTACAACGGGTCTTTTGAATTCAAGAGCGGCGAGACGTACCCGGAGGAGTTGGACTATACCTTCATGCGCGTGTTCAATGCGGCATTCGGCGCACTCTGCATTCCTCTGGCATACTTGACGGCGAAAGAGCTGCACTTTAAACGGCCCACCGTCTGGCTGGTGACAATGATGGTGCTGTTCGAGAACAGCTACACGACCATCAGCAGATTCATCCTGCTGGACAGCATGCTTCTGTTTTTCACCTTCACTACCATTTTCACCTGGGCCAAGTTTCACAACCAGCGTCATGACCCATTCTCGGTGGGTTGGGCTTTCTGGATGACCATGACTGGTCTATCCATCGGCTGCGTATGCAGTGTGAAATGGGTCGGCATGTTTGGCACTGCTTTGGTTGGCCTCTACACCATTGAAGATCTCTGGAACAAGTTTGGCGACCTCAAGATGCCAAAGGTCGAGCTCGCAGCACATGTCGGCTTCCGCATCTTCGGTCTCATCGTCATTCCAATGATTGTCTACATGTTTTCGTTTTACCTGCACTTCCTGGTCCTCGAGAACAGTGGCCCAGGTGATGCACAGATGTCGTCTCTTTTCCAGGCAAACCTCAAGGGAACTGAAGTGGGAAAGGACTGCCCACTTGAAGTTGCAATTGGTTCGCGAGTTACTCTCAAGAACATGGGCTACGGTGGCGGTCTCCTACATTCTCACGTCCAGACGTACCCTGAAGGATCTAACCAGCAACAAATCACCTGCTACCATCACAAGGATGCCAACAATGACTGGTTCTTTTACCCTAATCGTAATGAGCCAGATTTCGACCCAGAAGCCGAGCTCAAATTTGTGGGTGACAAGGCTGAAATTCGTCTTATACATGCTCAAACTGGCCGTAACCTCCACTCTCACCAAGTCGCTGCCCCAGTCACTAAGGCGGACTACGAAGTCTCTTGCTACGGCAACGTGACTGTTGGCGACACCAAGGATCACTGGATCGTCGAGGTCGTGAACGATGCCGCCTCATACGACTACTCCAAGATTCGTACCTTGACCACCGCGTTCCGCCTGAAGCACAGAGACCTAGGCTGCTATCTTCGCGCGGGCAACGTCAACCTGCCACAGTGGGGCTTTAAGCAAATCGAGACCACTTGTGTCAAAGAGAACAAGCCCCGCGACCCGTATACGCATTGGAACGTGGAGTCGCACGTCAACGAGAGGCGTGAGTACTGGTGACCATCTCCGATTGCGCACATTGCTAACCACTTCTCTTAGTCCCCGCCAGCCAACCCGGTTCCTACAAGTCTCCTTTCTTCCGTGACTTTGTACACCTGAACGTCGCTATGATGACGTCGAACAACGCACTTGTGCCTGATCCAGACAAGCAGGACGACCTTGCATCTGCGCCATGGCAGTGGCCTCTTCTCAACGTCGGTCTACGCATGTGTGGGTGGGACGATCACATCGTCAAGTACTACTTGCTTGGCAACCCATTCGTCTACTGGGCTTCCACAGCCTCTCTCTTCTTTTTTATTGGTCTTTTTGGATGGTACGCCATTCGCTGGCAGCGTGGCTACGACGAACTTACGTGGGCCGATCTCGACCACTTCCAGTACGCGGGCATATATCCCGTCATCGGCTGGTTCCTGCACTACTTGCCATTCATTGCCATGGCTCGTGTCACATATGTGCACCACTACTACCCGGCACTCTACTTTGCCATTCTATGCTTTGGGTTCTGCATAGACTGGACCACGAGGTCGTTACACAAGGGCGTGCAATGGGGCATCTTTGCTGGTCTGTACGCCGTTGTGTTCGGAATGTTCTGGCTATTCCGAGCATTCTGCTTCGGCATGGAGGGTTCCAACCAGCAATGGAAGCACCTCAAGTGGCTTCCAAGTTGGAAAATGGCCGATTAGGTGTGGCGATGGAGATGTGTGTGAGAAGAGCACGGAAACGGTACGATATGCACGCTGAAGTGGAGGGCGAATAATAGAGCACGCGAGGACGACAGGGTATTTCGTAGGCGTAACAGACATTGCGTTGGAGTTGAGGGGACCGCAGCGCGACGGCAAAAACAGAGCAAATGTACTCAGTATCACCTCTCCCAGTTCTCTCAAATACACTAAATGATATAATGTGGTTCTGGTGCTGGAGTCACATGTGGTGTAATACATCAGTGGTGTGTATCCTACTGTAGGTAGGGTCCGAGGTCCATGTTCCTGGCGTGCCTGATGTGAGGCTTGTTTGCCTTAGTCCTACCTAGCTGGCTAGCTCTTCGTGTCATGGATACGATAAGTGCAAATCGTAGAACCACCTCAGATCAACTCTAGTCTCTCCTGTTGGCTATTCCACTAGCAGGAGGTACTGTGGACATAGTTTTGCTTCACCCGGCCATGCTCCACTACTAGGGTACTCTCCACAATGGCCATGAACTCGGTGCGAGCGCCACTGCTCGAGGCAGCGCTCAAGTCCTACACGCGAACCCGACCTTCTCCCACATATCGCAATGCTCTACAAAGACGACGACCCGCTTGCAGATATGCGTCGGAGGGGCGACGGCCAACTCCTCCGCCCGGCGTACCCCAGTTGAACCAAGTCTGGTACCCCAAGACGCGCATCGCAGTCGGGATCGTCTTCATTGGGTCTCTGATCTATTCAATGGTATGGCACGAAGAAGAGTGCCGGGCTGTTACACCCATTGGTCTAACGCCATTTCCAGGTGACAGCAGATCAACAGACACCTCCTCCTCCTCTCCCGCCCTCAGACGTATCACAGCAGCCTCGATCGGGCCAACAGCTCGATGGACCTTCGATTGCCGAGCGAGACACCCTGGCTAAACGAGAGTCTGGCGTCACGCAGAGCTCACCAATGCGTCTACGAATGGAGGCACATATCAAGCAGAAGCAAAAGGAGATTGTCAGAGCGCTGGAGGCAGTAGACGGCCACAAATTCCACATTGACGAATGGGAAAGACCTCATGGCGGCGGCGGCATCTCGTGTGTGCTGCAGGAGGGAAATGTCTTTGAGAAAGCTGGCGTGAATATCAGCGTCGTCTATGGCACGCTTCCTCGAGCTGCCATTTCCAAGATGCGAGTCAACCACAAAGCTCTCGACCCTGATGTGGAAAGTCTCGAGTTCTTCGCTTCCGGGCTGAGTCTTGTCCTTCATCCTCACAATCCCATGGCCCCGACTGTCCATCTGAACTACCGTTACTTTGAGACCGCGAACTCGGATGGCACGACGAATGCGTGGTGGTTTGGAGGAGGCACGGATTTGACACCGAGCTATCTGTTTGACGAAGACGCGATCCATTTCCACAAGACGATCAAGGAGGCTTGTGATGCGCACGATAAGAACTACTACAGCCGATTCAAGAAGTGGTGTGACGAGTACTTTTCGGTCAAACATCGTGGAGAGTCACGCGGCATCGGTGGGATATTCTTCGATGATCTGGACGAGACGGAGAAAGATCAAGAATCGCTTTTCGCCTTCTGTCAGACCTGTCTGAATGCTTTCCTGCCTTCCTATTTGCCGATTATACAAAAGCGAAAGGACATGCCGTATACGGAGAAAGAGAGACAATGGCAGCAGCTGAGACGAGGGCGATATGTGGAATTCAATCTCGTGCATGATCGAGGAACGGCCTTTGGGCTCAATACGCCTGGTGCGAGAATCGAGAGTATTCTGATGAGTCTCCCGCTTACGGCGAGGTGGCAGTATCAACATGAGCCGGAGAGGGGGAGTAGAGAGGATCGGCTACTGCAGGTATTGAAAAAGCCTGTCGAGTGGGTGTAAAACAGCTCCTGTATAGATGACTACCTCCTAGATGAAGAAGCAGGTTCAGACCGTTCAGCTGAGGCCACTTTTCAGAAGAGTTACTAAAAATTTCCCCCATTCACAGCCCGCTCCTGACAGAGAGATTCTGCTTATTCTTAGGCCCCGTCTTCTTTGGTGTCGGTTACACGGTTTTCGTATATCCACGTCGACGTAGATAGTAACTACCGACGCTGTCTTCTCGGAAATCGTCGCCTATACGACGGTTTTGTCCTGCACCTCGCTGCTCGCTGCGCTATACTATAAATAAGCTCGCTGTCGCTACGCTACTACTACTATAGGTTAGCGAACGTACAGACGGGACCTACAACCGCAAAAGTGCCTCTCGAGACGCTTTTTTGGCCGACAAATAGCTATTTTATACTCTTAGCGTTACCTATAGCCTACGTCGCTGTTCGAGATATATACTACGCGTCACGCGTAGACGTCGTCGTTACAGTCCGTCGCGCGTAGACGTCGCCGTCGTATACGTACGACGTACTATATTGTACCCCTCTATCTATTTACTGCTCTTATTATTCAAATATAGTAGAAACTATAGAATCCGCCGGTATTCTCGTCCTCTATAGTATTATTACCGCCGCTATATTATATACTATCCTCCTAATCGTAGTCCCTCGGCTCGTAGAAAGACGTCGGTATAGGCCGCTAGGTATTATTACAACGTAGATAGAGCCGGGGTTAGGTACGAAGATAGTATATAAGTGCCTATATAGTACCGAACGGTTCTGTTACTCGACAACGCGTCTAAAGCAAGTAGTATTAAAATCGTTAATCGAGGAGCTTACGAACCGTAGTAGCCTAGATAACTATAGAAGAGCTAGAGTTACGATTAATAAGCAGGTAGTTATGTTTCTTTACTTCGTAGCTTATAACCTATCTGTTAGCGAATTAGTTAACAGCTACTACTATACGCGAAGTACCTATTCGCGGGTTATCCGGAGGGTTAGCGTTGCTATATATCGAATAGCCGAGGATTATATCTAATTACTAGACGATAAAGCCGTTAATCTAGCGCTAAGATAGCCTAAATTCCGCTATTTCAAGGGCGCCCTAGGTACGCTAGACAGTACGTTTATCAACGCAGTAATTCCGGAAGAGAGGCAATCGGCGTAGCGTTGTTAGAAAAACTTTATCGCTTAGAACGTACTAGCCGTATACGATTTCGACTATCGGTTTCTATACTCGCTTATAGGCTACGAGGGCTCTACGAACGATAGTACTATCGTAAACCGTACGTTCGTTGTCGGTAGCCTACGTATACCTACCGGCCGTTACTATCTCGCTAATAGAGGGTACTTACCGAAAGACAAGCGATTACTCGTACTATATTAGCGTATACGATATTACTTGCGCAAGCAGGTTGCGTCGGATATAAAGCCTATAACGAAGGAAGAACTGTTTAATCTATATTATACGTAGCTTCGTAACTACGTCGAGCGGATATTCGGTATTATTAAGAAACGCTTCGAATACGTACGAGATAGCCCCTATAAGGGTCGTACGATATTAGACTAGAAACGGTTTCTTATAGTATACTTTGTCGTCTATAACTATATCCTCGTATATAGCGTACAGCCGCTCTCTTCTAAACTAGATCTTTGTAATACGCTAGGGCAGAGAAGCCCTAGCGAACCCCCGGCGAGGCGGGCGGGGCGTACCGCGCGGGACGGGAAGCCCTTGCGGACCTCCGGCGATCCGGTATAGAAGGGATACTCTACCGATCGGAGACGTTCTAAATCAAGAGGGTTCCTAAGGGAACCGGTTATCGGCTGCTGCCTAAGAGGAGGCGGTGCCGGTAGCGAGGAGTAGATAATAGAATAGCTTGTATATATAGCGAGGGCCCTCCTCTAGGAAGGAAGGGTAGAGTTATTGTACCTTAGTTAGTAAGCTATATATTGTTTATACCTTTTATACCTAGGACCTCTGTCGCGTATACCCTTACGCTTACAGAACTATTATATAATAACTCTCGTATTTTAATTATAAGGGAAAGGTCCGAACAATAGTAGGAGGACGTTCTACTAGATAGAACCCTAGCGACTCGCTAGGGAACCCCTCTATACTAGAACAGGCCTCTACTAAACAATCTTCCTCTATAGATATCGAAGTAGGACGAGTTTAGGAACTGCTCGACTAGGAGGAATCTATAGAAGCTCTTGCTAGTATCTAGCTAGAAGATACGAACGATTCCGAGCTAGAAATTATCGTCGAACGTAAGGAGCTAAGCGACCTTCAGAAAGATATCGCCCGCCTATAGGCGGAAAAGGAACGTCTGCTACTAATCTAAGAAGTAGCCGACCTTTAGAGTAGCTGCGGTTATAAGCGGTATACTATAGAAACCGATATTGCCCCTCCTCCTAAACGCTCGGTAAAAGCCTCTAGCGAATACGAGGGGAGGTCCTTAAAAGAATACGGCGACTTCGTAATATCGTACGAAGTCGTATTCCTCTAGAATCTACGATCCTTCTAACGGGAAGCCGAGAAGTATATCTAGGCAATATAGTACCTCTCTAAGGGGTATACCCCGAGGGACCGCTAGTATATATACTAGTAGCGGATAACCGAGGCCGAGCGTAAGGATACGACTTAGAATAACTTTAAGTAGTTCCTACTTAACCTCCTAGACGATCCTAACGCTCGACTACTTTAGGCTTACCTAGACTACGCGTCTGCTAAACAACGTACTAACTAGTCTCTAAGAGAGTTCCTAATATACCTAGAGACTCTCGAGGTATAGCTAGAACGGTATACTCTAGAGCAATAGCTATACTAGTTCTTCGCCCGGTTGTACCCGGAGACCCGCCGACGGATCGTCGATTATAATTCTATCCCTAAAACATAGGACGAGTTAGTTAACCTAGCGACCTAGATCGAGAAGAACTACCCGAGGACCTAAGGTAGTAAAGGGCGGACTAGTAGTAACAAGCTAAAATCTAAAGATCGAGATCGCCGGGGAGACGCTAGGGAACCGCGTACTAATACGGCTAAAGCCCTAAAATCGGGCGCGGCCGCGAAAGCCGCTCTAGACAAAGGGGATTACTTAGGACTAAAGTGCTACGAGTGCGGTAAGATAGGTTACATCCGCCTAGACTGCCCGTTAAAGCGTAGTAATCCTAACCGGACCCCTATCTAGCTAAAAAACTAATTAGGCTCGTCGCGAACACTTAGGACGCGACGGGGCTCCGACCTATTGAATCTAGGGACATTGTCGAAATAGTAGGAACTGTTATTACTAGCGAAGGTATAAAACCTATACGGGTCGCCCTCGATACGTACGCCTAGGTAACTACGATTAGCTAGAAGGTAGCGGTAGAAATAGGCCTACCCCGAATCGAGGCCTAACTCCCGTTACTTAGATAGCTATCGACCTACGAAACCTACTACTACGGCGCCTACGAGTTCTAGTTAAAACTTAGCGACTCTAGTATAGACACCCGAACTACGAAGATTCTTGCCTATAGTGTCGACTAGGACGGACCTTCTATCCTCCTTAGCCGGTATTCCTTAAAGACCCTAGGCATCGATATCTAGAACGGTCCCGGTATATAGCGATAGGGACTTATAATCTCTAGCTTCGAGAGGGTCTCCCTAAAGAGGTTAAAGCGCGAATCGAAGGAAGACTCCTCCCCTATCTATATAGTAGGGTAGTTACGCCTAGCGAACCCCTAGAGAGGTTAGAGCTCGACCTTCTAGATTTACGCGATTAACTAAGGCGAGGCAAAACAAGTCTCCCTCCCCGCTGTATTAGAAGGATATCGCTATATATTCGACAACGACTCCGCGGCGATCCTTCCGGCCTATAAGGCAACCGGCTATACTATCGAACTAATAGATAGTAAGGAACCGCCCTTCGGATCCCTCTACTATCTCTCCTAGCGGGAGCTAGAAGTCCTCTAGGAATACCTCTATAAGGAGTTGGAGTAGGGACGGATTGTATATAGTACTAGCCCTACTAGGGCTCTACTACTGTTCGTACTAAAGAAGGACGGGACCTTACGATTATACGTCGACTACCGCGCCTTGAATTCGATTACTATTAAGGACCGATACCTACTTCCCCTTATCGACGAAAGCCTTACGCGCCTTACTAGCGCTAAGTACTTTACCTCTCTAGATCTTAAGGACGCGTACTACCGAATCCGTATCCGCGAAGGCGACGAATAGAAGACCGCTTTTAGAACGCGATACGGGCACTTCGAGTATAAGGTAATACCCTTTAGGCTAACTAACGCTCTAGCTATATTCTAGGCGTACGTTAACCGGGCCCTCGCCGGGCTGCTCGATAACATCCTAGTAGTATACCTAGATAACATCCTTATCTATACCTACTACGATAATATCGAAAAGTACTAGGAGGCGGTTCGCCGGGTACTCGCTAGGCTAGAACAGGCGGAATTGTTCGTTAACCTAAAGAAGTACGCCTTTGCGTAAAGCGAGGTAGTATTCCTTAGATTCCGAGTAAACCGTAAGGGCGTATATACCGACCCCGAGAAGGTTGCTACTATTACCGAGTAGCCCTCGCCGACTAACCTAAGGGAACTGCAGTTATTCCTTAGGTTTGCTAACTTCTACCGCCGCTTTATAGCCGGGTACGCGAAGGTAATAGCCCCGATAACTAACCTTCTAAAGAAAGGCGAATTCTAGTAGACGGAGGCCGGGGAGGCGGCGTTCTAGGCGTTAAAACAGATGTTTACTTCCGCCTCTATACTCCGCTACTACGACCTAGCGAAGCCCCTACGACTAGAAACCGACGCGTCCGACTATAGCCTATACGGGATCCTAACGTAGCTCTATAACGACCGGTAGCACCCTATCGCCTTTATGTTAAGAAAGATGTCGCCGGTAGAGCGGAATTACGAAATATACGACTAAGAGCTCCTCGCGGTCGTCTATAGCTTTAAAGTCTAGAGACACTTCTTCGCGGACGTATATACCCCGCTTTAGGTATATACCGATTACAATAACCTAAGGGGTATCTAGACAGTATAGAAGCTAAACGGGCAACAAGCCCGATAGGCGGTATATCTAGGCTAATTCGACTTCGAGATATAC